GGTAGAAAAATGGTAGAAAAACGGTAGAAAAACGGTAGATTCATTTTTCTTTTACCTTTGTCTACCCGGTTTACCTCTTTTTTTTTTAAAACCTTTTTTTACCTTTCTTAATTTTCCACGATTTACATTTTTTGACCTTTACCTTTTTTAGATTACCATGTTTTTTTCCTTTTTTCCAACTTTTTTTTAATTAATCTTTTCCTTCGTCTCCATATGAGTAGGGGTTATAAGAATAACAGGGAGAAAAGATGAGGGCAGAAGGCTGTAGGTTGGGGGCTCCTTGAATGGAGCTCAAGCATGTCACATGGCAGACGCTGGCGTGTTAATGATGCAGAGCAGTCATGCTGCATCCAGATGCGATGTGGAAGTTGCAGGCATGCTGAAGCTTGTAGATTTCTCAATGCTTGCCCTTTGCAGGACAAGTCACTGGCAAAAGCCCTGGAAGTTGGTGACTTGCGTTGGGAGACATGCAGATTTCTTTCAGAGCAAGCTCAAGTGAAGAACGCAGAAAATAGTGTAGCTCCTGCCAGCGAGTCATCATGCTTGGCTCTTGCGTCTGCTAAGTTCCATCCGGTGTGTCTCGCAACTTAACGGAAGAAGCAAGCGCCGCTGCTGCCACGGAGGAGTCGACCCATTTGGCAGCGCATGTTGCTGTCCAAATGAATTGGCTTCAATTCTCTCCAAGCCACAGCAGGAGACAGCGACTTCTCAAACTGATGCGCCATGAGCTTCTAGTACCGAAGCAGCAATGTGCAGCAAATCCGCGGATCAAGAGCCTTGGGGTGACAATTTGTGAAGTTTAGCCAAGTCTATGTATTCAGATCTTGGACACAAGGCAAACTCTCAAAGGTACTCGCTTTGACAAGGCTAGCCAGATGGCTATGTAGAGCAAGATCGATTCAGGTTCCTGACGGCAATGGCATGGCTGAGTCATGCTGACCTGGTAATGGATGCAAGGAGAAAGAGAAATGATTACCAATTATTGCCACAAGAACTCACAAGCAGGATTGACAGATCCAAAGCTTGCTTGAGTGCGTGAGCTTGCTAGCAGGACCTTGCCACATTTGAATCGCTGATAATGTGATGACGCATGCTGTTCCAGGTGCAGTAAGGACTTACAATGCTTTGTGAGCGTGCGATAGACACACACCGCTCCCGGTCATCCACCTGCAGTCCTAAGCCAGCAGAGAGACATAGGCTTGCAGTACTTTGCTCAAGAGTTTTCTGGGCCATGCGCCAGCTTGGTTTGCGACGCCTTGCCACTGCTGCTTGGACGAAATGGCATTGGCTAGCGGCTAGCCTACACAGCATTCACATGCCCTGGTTCACAGTAGTTCATATCTGCGGTGCGCCTCAAGAGTGTTTGCCTCTGTTGTGAGCGGAAAGTTCTTGCTAGACGTCACAGTGCGGTGCAGTAGGGCAAACAACGACACAGCATTAGCGTTCCTGGTTGTGTCCAGGCCACACGCAGACCAAAGCTTCAGACATGCCAATCTGAATTACATTCAAAGACAATGCTGAAGCATGCTGGTCCTTGACAGACCATGCATTCGGATGCAAGCTTGCAAGACAGTTGAATCCATCTTCCCTCCACATGATTCAGCCGTACCAAGATCGTAGCACAGAATCAAATTCGGACAATTTTGTTGGGTTTATAGACCAGTTTGGCTTCGGGAGTTTAGCTTCAGCCAACACCCCTGCAAAACCGGCAAGCCCAATGGGTTGAGACCATGTAGCATGTTGTATTTGGGCCGCAGGGTGCAGCAGTTCAAGGCAAGCACGGCACGAATATGGGCTTTTCAGAGCAGGGGTACAGTACAATCTCTGAGCTGGGAAGTCTGTTGCGAATGGATTTGCAAAAGTGAAGAGGGCTAGCAACCATCATAGAATTGAGAGGCTGACTTAGAGTGCTGTTGAGCATAGTAGAACCCAGGCGATGTAAGGACAGGTTGAGGCCTGATGCTCCGAAGATGTTTGTGACCATTCCTCGCTTAAGGCTTCGGACGCTGGCTTCAGCAGCAGCAAGCTGAAGGAGGTGAACAATGCGCAAGTGGGTACACTACTTGTCGCAAGCCAAGGAATTTCAAGGCGATCGAGTTTCCAAGTGTCGGACTACGGTTTTGTTTCATGCATGCTTTCCTGCCAGGTTGGAGACCGTATTCAAGATTGACCTTGCCGTAGCGGATGGCAGGTTGGCCAAACAACCTACGATGCACAGCGTGCAGGCTTGCTGCTGATTTCAAAGATGTCACCTTGAGATGCGACTCTCAAAATTGTAGCCAATCTGCATCGTGCATGGGCGCATGATACGATATAACACGGTGATGCTGCATGCTACAAGGTCAGCGAGAAGCAGCACGTGAACTTGTTGCAGCTCAGCACTGCATGCAGATCCATAGGCTTGCGGTCAGGTTGTCCACGGACTATTGATTTGGGTGAACCCGCATCAGTTCAAAAAAAGGGTCAGCGAAGCCAATTGTCTCCAACTTATCAACCTTCCTCGTCTAGCATCGTCTAGCCAGGCCAGAGCTGCCACTTGACGAAAGTTGTGCTAAACTCGCCGAAAACCACCAAGTTGCACGCAATGTGAGCTTATGCTTTGCTGTCCTCAGGAAAGTTCCGGATGACAAGGGCGGCAGAGCAAGATATTTGAGTCACTTCGAGCAACCGAATCTTCGTGCCATCATCGCGGACACACTTTCGTTTTGTGGTCCGGCAGCATGCCATCGCTGCTTCACAACTGCAGCTTGTCCTTGCTTTACACGTGTTTATTCCATGCCTCAAGCAAGCCGAGGTGCTTTGCGCGATATCCTTCCAGGAGCCGCCTTTGATCCTCAAGCACTCTGTTGTTGTGTTGTATGCCATTAGCCACTGTGAAGGAGAGGAGCTTGGCTTTCATTACTGCACCACGGAGTGGACCATGACGAGTCCTTTCGTTTGTGCTCGCAACGGCGCTCGTATCCAGGGATTTGCTCATTTGGATGAGGATGCTTGCCAGGTTTCAGGAAGTTGAAATAAATCGTATGAAATTGTGTTCTGTCCCGAGTTTGGCATCTTTCTGCATCAGCTGAGTTCAAGACGTTCCAAGGCTACTCAACAAAAATTGCTGCGGGATGGGCTAGTGACGGCACACGTGCGGCGTATGGCATGCGGCAACTAAGAAAAGACACGGATTGGGAAGCAGGTCAGGTTCATTCGTTTGAAGCCTGAAGGTTTGTCATAAATTCTGGGGAAGACAGCAATGCAGTCCTTTTTGGTGGGGAGGGGGGCCAAGGCTTTCGCCTGTGTGTAACCAGCGGTTAGGATTTGTCTTTCAATTTCGTATGGCTGACAGCCAAAGCCAAGAACAGCGTGGTGGCAAAGATGCAGACTAAACTGAATCTGCTTTAAATGCCGGAAATTGCTGGGAAAGGTCAGCTGTTCAAGGCCAAATTGAGGCTTCTCAGCGCCATGGGAAGGCATGTCGTGATAGGGCAGCCTTAGACACGATATTGCCTGTGGATGCATACAGCTGCAAACAAGGTTTGAGGGACATGATCTTCAAGCTGGGCCAAGAGCATGAACAACAATTAGAACAACGAGCATTTGGAATTGGTAGGAATAACGCAGAAGCTTGGTAATGATGCAAAAACCGTAGCGCTAACACTGAACAGTTGCATCACCAATTGAAACAACCCGGCTTGCAACTCTCACATGTTTTCTCACACGCAGCTGTTTGCTTCAAGCAGACCTGTTGTTTTCCACATGCAGTGACTACTCAATGTGGTGGCCGGCTTAGCACATGTTCGGCACCGACTGAAGAGAATGTGCAAGTATCTGGCTGCCGTAGGGGCGAGTGGGGGGAGGCGAATACCTTGCGACTCAGGAGGGGCGCCCTGCCATACCTGGCTTTCTCAAGCCTCGCGCTGCTGGTGCAGGTGCAGACGCGGAAGCTAACAGCCGTCTCGTAATCATCTCTCTCGACATGCTGTGGAGATGCTTAGGCACTTCCCAGGATTCATACATCCAGCACACCCGTAGTTCGTTCTCGCAGGGCGCCCGCGAGGGTGCGGAGGACTTCGTGGAGCTGCCGGAGGATCGAGGCGGGAAGTAGAATGAGTGTAGTAGATTCTTGCTAGGTAGGTTCGATTGCAGGTGAAGGGAAGGGCGGGGGAGAGGGACCATGACCTGGCACATCTCAGCACAAGGTAAGCTCATGTAAGCTCGATTCTGAGGGATGTTGTTTCTGGTCTTCTTGAGGATGGGCACGCCCTCGCAGAAATCATCGCGAGCACAGCGACGGGGCAGCACTGGTGCAATCATAGCCGCATTCGCATACATGACAAGCCTGCCCTGCAGTCTGCTGCGTAGCAAACAACTTTCTGAGACCACGTCCTTCAGATAAATTGAGCAAGACAACCACGCCGCAAGCAAAGTATAAACACAGCGCCGCAAACCTAGATGTAAACGGCTGCAGCTTGATGCTTTAGTTGTGAGACATGTTGCGAAGCAAGGCATCAGCTTCGAGGAATCCAGTGTCCGGTCAAGCTGCCTGTCTATGCAAAGCATACAAGACTGGGCATGCGGATAGTTTGGAATGGTCCCAGCTTGCACCAGCCCGGGCATTGACCGCAGTTGCCACAGCAAGCGGCTCACAGGTCAGCAGTTGTACTTCCAGATACTGCAAGGACCTGCAGCGAGGTTTCCTCTGTTCGTGCTATCGGAATAGGCATGTGCAAGATCTCCACGCTGACAATCATGTCTGCTGTGGTCCATGCAAGATCCCGAGGCTTGGTGGAAGGGGCCCAGCAGACACACTTTCAGAGACACCAGCGGGCTCACCGCAAAGCCCTGAGCTTTTTAAAGCAAAGCAATTTAGACGTTGCTTGAGGCACGGTTGCAGATGATGGCAGCAAATGTGCAGGTCACGGCCACCAATATCAGCGACAGCGGAATGAAACACCCGGAGCGAGTGCGGGACGGACACTGAGTCAAAGTGCACGTTCATATAAAAAGAGTGAGGAACAGATGTAGCAAGCCAACATGTCCAGAAACAGTGCCTCCCAAAAGCATCATGCTGGTCTACAGGCAGCGACGACCACAAGGCTGGCGGGACCGACGCTGAGGAGAGGGGTGTTGATGCATGTCACCAGGCCACAAGGAAGCTGCTCTCTCTTGATTATGCTCACTGCTTATCACCCTCTCAGAAGCACGGACTGCTTGTGAGGAGCGTGCGAAGATTGTGTCAGCGGCAGCCAAGGACGCGGTGAGAAATTGGAGAATTCCCCGTTGCAAGCTAAATCGACTAAGTTGCGAGTAGCAGTTTTTTTGTTTTTAAGAATTGGTTGGTGCGTGTTACAAGTTTCAATCCCCAGGAGCCTGATGACTGCGGACCTCTCATGGGAACAGATCCCGAGGAGGCCAGGCTCAGTCTTGCAAAAGCAAAGTAAGTGAAGGATGTGAAGGCATGCTCTCGATGTGCTCCTACACATTTGCGGGACACGAGAAGCATCTCAAATGCAAGCGCGCTGAAGATGTCTCTTAGCAGTCATGGGCGAGTCGATCCCTGGACACTACCTGCAATATTCAACTGACATCATGGCTGTTCCTATCCACTTCATGGTTGCAGCAGCCATACAATTCAAGATGCCAGGCGACACTGCACAAGCACTCATGTCAATGTGTCTTGCTTCGCAACTCCATGAGGTTCAGGCGCAGGTGCGCCGATGCCTAAAGCAGCGGAAGCGCCAAGTCCAGGAAGTGCAGGAGAAGCTCCAAGAACGTCTTGGACTCAGACCTGTGACCACGCTGGGCATGATGCAAGGCGAGTATGATCCACGCGCGGGCATACGATTGTAGGTTGCCAGTGTGACAGAGATTCTTGGAATCGCGGGTGTGTTCAATCAAGGAAGGCCACTTCAAACATGCATCTCTCAGCATAAGGCGCGAGAGCCGAAAGGCTGCTTGCGGATGAGGAGGACAAAGTCAAGAAGCTGCAAAAGGCCGCCTGGGGTCCTAAGCAAACTGGTCCATGAGTGTGAGTGCCAGACTCGGGTAGGTTAGCCTTCATTTCAGAAGAATTCCCCATCCCACTCTTGGAGCGAAACGTGTGTCATGCGAATCTGCCAGGAGATCGGCAACGTGAATGCCATGACTGCTGCGTACGCAAACGATGAGAGAATTGTCAAGGCTGCGAAGTCGCTCTTGTTTCCACCGCCCACTGTGCGGAGAGCTATTTCGTCTCAGCGACTTAGTGAGAAGCATTGCCAGAGGCCACGCGAGCTACCGTCGTACAGAGACTGTAACATGAGCGACGGACTAAAGTCCTGGAAATCATGCGTTTAATCTGTAAAACGCGATGGTCGGCATCGTTTCAATGCCAGTTGATTGGCAAACGAGATTGAAGTCCCGAATGAAATACTGCAAAACGAGATAGTACCAGAATTTGTTGGGCGATCCCTGGTTTTAGACCGGTGTACTAGGCAAAGGGAGTCTGTCCTTTCTGTGGCTCAATGTAAGGTTTGAAAATTCGGGCCTTGTGCTGCCCTCCAACAAGTTCTGGAGAATATAAAACGAGATATGTGACGTTTCACCATGGGCCAGACGAGAACTGCTGGTCGCCGCTCATGTGTTGTGCTTGATCCGATGTTACCCTGAAAGTGGTGGGCTGCTTGTTGAGAACGGAGCTTATGCATGTGGCGCAGCAGTGCAATGGCAAGGCAGCCTTGGAGAATGACGAGCAGAGGGTCACAATGCGGATAAATCGGCTTGATCATGATGGTGAGGAGCCCTGCTCCATCTTTGCTCTCGACTGATGAGCTTTGTTTGCCTGAGTCGTTGCTGACCGACGTCAGATCAACCATATACCTGCTTTCATTCCATGCATCCAATTTCAAGACTTCAGACTCAACATCCTCCATGTGCTTCGTGCTCCAGAATTAGGGCAAATTGGAGTTGACGAGTACAACGTACATGTATTTCAGGGAAGGATATTGTCCACTTGTAGTTGAGCAGCAACATGGCTTTTGCATGCTTTCGCAGCATGTCAAAGGTAGCCTATCCTCATACCCTCAAGCCCCACTAGCATTTTTCGCCGAACTGCAGCTTCTTGGAAAGTCGGCTGGACTCCTCGAGCTACCCCAACTGAATCACATCTGAAAGACAGCAACTTGCCATTACGTTGCTTGATCAAAGCCAGGACGCGGATCGAGAACCTGGCGACGATTAGCAGCTGGATTTCGATATCTTCAGCTATTGCGGGCCTTTCTGGACGAGAAAAGAAAAGAGAAAAATCAATAGATTCATGTTCAAATGCGAATAAAAATCATCATTGAATTATGAGTTTCCATTTTCATATGAGTGTTATTCTAAAGATCTTTGTCTTCAGTTTATATGAGAGCGAACACTTCAATTGATTTCAAGGACCCGCTCAAATCTCACTTCTTATATTAACTAATCGACTATTACGAGTTTTTAATGATATTCTTTGGTAAATACGTATTCTAGATAAGAAATATGATTTATTCAAAGATAATTATATATTTATTCTGAAATATACATTTAATTTCTTTATTTTCTCGAGAATTAGCAATAGTACGCGTAGGGCAGATAAATTCTTTGATATATTTATAAAAATTATGATCTTGATATTTCTATTTTCGAATTTATCAATCTTTAAATTGTTTCAATTGAAGATTATATTATCTAAATTTTGAAAATTTAAGGACTAAAATATATTTTTTAATAAAAATTATATATATATATGATTTTAAAAAAATCTAGGAAATATATATTTTAGCATATTTCATAGTTTCGATTGATATATGAAATTAGAATAAATTAGTATATACTATTGAATAATATGAATATTGATATTTTCTTTGAAAAAAGATATGAAGAGATTATTTTATCCATTCAAGATGATTAAATATTATGAAAGGAATATTATATCATTATATAGATATCGTCTGAAAGCTCTTTATAGGATTTTTATATAAAATAGGTTATGATGGTGTTCGAAAAAAGAATTTTCATTTTTAGAAATAAAAATATTATAAATTATAATTTCTTATTTTTAATTTCTAATAATAGTTGAGCCTAAAAAAAATCGATTCATAAAAATTATTATTATCTGCACTATAGATTCGGCATGATAAGAATTCTTTAGGCAATTTCTTGCGACGAGAAATGTATTTTCATTGGCAGATATATGATAGATATTTTTTAAAATAAATATCAAAGATGATAGAATTAAAAATCATAATTTTAAAGAAATATCTTTTTTTATCTTTATCGATGGGCCAGATATCCCTTGGGAAGGATATGCAAGCATAATTAGAATTTTTGATATGATAGGAATATAGATATATTTGCATATTGGGCAGCATTTATTCTATAATAGAATATTAAGATATATCGTAATATGAATTTGAAAGAAATATAAATTTTAGCATAAAAATTCTAATAGAAATATCTTTTATCTAGATGAAGGCAGTTGCAATTAAGATTGATGAAGCAAATTTGGATAATGGATTTATGAATTCTAATTCTATTTCATTTTATTTATATTTTTTATGATTTTATATTTCGTGGAGATGATTCGAAAATTCTTTTGAGAATTCAAGATTCACGAGAGATTATGAATGCGAAATGAATTTTCTATTTCTATAAAGAGATCATTTTATTATGAAGATTCTATTGGATAATATTTATATAGAGAGCTAGGAAATAGAATTGAAATTGATAATATATATATATCAAATATATTATTGAATAAATATAATATGGAATATATATATATATTTCTATTTTCTATCGTCGAATTATTCAATCTTTTTATGAAATATATGATTTATAAATATATATATATATTTGATATCATGATTAGAAAATTTGATATTTTGAGATTATTTCATGATTATTTTTTCTGAATATCATAGTTTCTGATTTATTCTTCAAATTTCAATATATATCTAGAATTAAAGAGAAGAAATTCAAATTGATATGAATAATTTGGATGAATATATATTAGATTAAAGATTTTCTTTGAAAAAGATATCTTGATATTCGAAAAATATATTCTATCAAATATTATGGATTTCTTCCGCCTTTCGATTGCGCGTATTTTCTCAGATCGATCTTCCAAAATATCAAATATCTTTTGGAAGATCCGTTTCTACCGAGAAGAAATCCGGATATTTTGGAAATCATTTTTCCAAAATATCCGAGATTTTTCGTAGATCTCGATTATCGAAATATCCGAGATATTTTGGAAAACCCGATCAGAATCATTTTTCCAAAATCTCCCGGCGACCGGTCTCGACTAATTTTGGAAAAGTGGTCCGGACCCGTTTTCAAAAATATCCCGGATATTTTGGAAGACCGATCCCGATCCCGATTAAATATGAAATCGTCGTATCTTCAGAAGAAATAGTCTGCTAGCTGATTGCGTATCTACTAGCCAACCGTATATTGCTGGTCAAGCGTGTATATGCAATTTATGTGGCGGTGGCGGCGGCGGTCGGCGGTGGCGGGGACGTTGCGGGAATTGGCGGAGGGCGCTGGCGATGGAGGCGGAGGGGGCGGTGCTGGTATTGGGATGGCGGAGACGATGGAGATAGAGGGGGCGGTGTTGGTGTTGGCGCCGGCGCCCGTGGCCGTAGGTACCGGTGCCCGTGGCGGTGCGGTGGAGGTGGCGAAAACGATGGCGGTCGGTTGCGGTCGCGGCGGGCGGCACAAGCGTGATGAAGCCATGGAGCGGCGGGACCACATATTCCGAGAATGCCAGCAGATTCTCGATATAATCTTCCGATTCAAGATCGTAAATAGCATATCGTTTGAACCGTGCCGGCACGTAGCATTCTCTGTTGGATTTGCTATGTCTTCCATAGAACCAATCTGTTAGCCAACCGTGTACGTGAATATATAAAACGGCGGCGAGGCGGCGCGGTGGCGGCGGCAGTGGCGGTGGCGACCGGTACTGGTGGCGGCGGAATTGGTGGCGGAAGGCGGGGATGCGGCGAGGGCGTAGAACGGCGAGAAGATATATTCAGAGAGATCAATAGATCCGCGATATAATCTATGGATCCAAAATCGCAAATAAAGTGCCGCTTGAATCGTATCGGCACGTAGCCTTCTCTATTATTCTGGCCGCATGTTGCGCCGCGCATCCGCCGATAGAATCGGCAGGTCCTCTCTAATCTAAAATATATTTAAGATTGGACTAGAATATAGCAATTTGAGTATAAGAGGAGAAATCCATAAAGAAAAGGCAAGATTTATTCATATTCTATGATTCGATTTAAATGATTGAGCTACTAGCTCTATATATTCATAATTTTCAATATTGAATCATAATAATTTGACCTAGAATTGCCCCGCTGCCTCCAGAAAATATTTATATGAGACCACCTATAACGAAAAGCCCCGATGAAGAATGAATAGATAAGATCGCACATTATACATGAAATCCAATGAACAATCAATATATATAAGATTATACGTAATAAAATGAAAAAACGAACAATCTATAGATTCTGAAAGATTTTAGATCTCTGCTCTGGGTCTACACGTTCCACCGAGCCGCCGCAGATAATCAAAGAGAGAGAAATGGTTCGAAATCTGGGAGATTTTTGGTCGTGCGGCCCCCGCATCCTACCCAATCTTTCCATCTCATTTATCTCTCTTGGGCTGACTACGCGGCGGCTAGGAGGAGCGCATAAATTCCTGTAGATAAATACGGCCAATCTATAAATTCTCAAGGATTTTAGTTCTCCATCCCGGGTCTACGCGATCCGTCGAACAGCCGCACAAATAGCCAAAGAGAAATAAATCACGCGGAAGATCGTTCCGGAAGCAAAGGCCGCCTCCGAGACAAAAATCTCGGGAGATTTTAGAATCTCTAGTAAAATCTCCAAGATTTTAAAGCCCCTAGGCAGGGAGCCCGCAGGAGGCGTTTGAGAGATGAGCCGGAAAAGCTAGATCGCGCGTGAATGAAATGACCGCAAATATTCGCGCCATATTGATATAACGAATAATGAATATCAGATCGCATCTGAAATCCGACAAACAATCGCCATCTAAGATCGCACGTGACAAAAACCACCAACCTATAGATTCTGAAAGATTTTAGATCTCTGCTCTGGGTCTACACGTTCCACCGAGCCGCCGCAGAAAATCAAAGAGAGAGAAATGGTTCGAAATCTGGGAGATTTTTGGTCGTGCGGCCCCCGCATCCAGCCCGATCTTTCCGTCTCATTTATCTCTCTTGAGCTGACTACGCAGCGGCTCAGAGGAGCGCATAAGTTCCCGTAGATAAATGCAACCAATCTAAATCCCTTATAAACCCTATAGGGAGTCCGCAGGAAGCATTTTAGGGATGATCGGAAAAGCTAGGCCGCGCGCGAGCGAAATGATCACAAATGACCGCGTATTATTGAGGTATATATATTGAAGATAGTTGCAAAAATTTGGAAATTCTCGAATATTCGATCATATTATCGTTCTTCCTTTTCTTATTGATAATAGAATATATTGTCATTTCAGAGAAAATGCCTTCTTATTTTCTGACAAAATATTTCGATGTATAAATATGAATTAAGAAAATATTCATATCTTATTGATCTAAAGAATATATAATTATGAGTATTTTGATTATCAAAATAGATATCTTCTAGAAAATCAGATTCTTTTTATAATTCTCTATATAATTTTTGATGATTGATGATGATTTTGATGATGATTTTGATGATAATGACGATGGATAGACGAATATTATAATAGCTATATCTAATATATAATAATTAATAACGTTCGTATTCTATGAATATATAATTTCTGGAATATCTAGATCTAAAATATATTATTATTCGTATTCTAAGAATATACGATCTCTAGAATATTATATCCAAATCAGATTTTGATTCATCTTCTAAATACGATTAATGAAGTCGTATTCCCAGAATATATCAAGACGTTAATATTGAAAGAATATCTTTTTTAAGAATCTAGAATCATCGACTGAGAAATCGATTATCTAATAGATCCTGCAGACGACGAATATTTTAATATCTCAATATGATATCGTTAGGTCAAATAATTCAAAATATCAATATACGAAGAGATCGAGAAAATCTGGAGAATAAAGAATATAATCCGCAATTAGGAATTCAATCAATTCATCAATTAGATGAGATAGCTTAATTCATCAAATCGTCAATTCGATAGATTATTAGATCGATATCTTTTCAAATTAACCGATAGAGATATTCTTTCAAAATATAATTGCTTCATAGATCGATAGATTTTCATTTTCAGATCATTCGATAGAGAAATTGAAAGATTGAATAAGAGACGGCAGATAGATTTCAGAGGATATTAGATCGATAGAATGAGATCGAGAGATTCTATAGAAGATAGATAATCAGATTGCTAAATTGGCAAATCAATTGATAATTTCATTGTACGATAAATCATGATATTGATGATAGATCGATAAATATATATATTCAGAATGACGATCCGAGAGGCGGAGAGATTGATAGATCGATAATCTAATTGATTATTCGTCATTCCGAATTCCCAATAGACCTATAGATATCAGAAAAAATCTAGAAAAATCCATTATCAATATAATTCTAGAAGAGAATTTGAATCATATCTAGAGATAGATGATCATTATAATATGAAATAGATATTATATCAAAAAATTCAATCGTAATTTCTTAGTCTTATAAAATATTCATCAGAAATAGATCTCAAAGAATATCTAATATATTCGAGGATTAAGATTTCTGAAGAAAATACGATTATGATAATGCTATGAAATTAGATAACTATAAAGAAAAGAGAGAAGAGAGGAGGGAATGCCCTAAATCTCTGAAATTTGATTCATATTCCCTATACTAGAAATTTGAGAATTCAGAATCTTTATATTCAGAATCTTTATCTTCTAGATATCTTCTATCATAAATATAAGAATAGAATAAAATTGGATAGAAAATATTATTTCTTTTTTATGAAAATCAAGGAATTAATATATTCTTCTAATTTATCCTCTTCCTGCCGACCGCCCTAAATCTCCATATGAAAATCATAATATCAGAAATCAATCCGAGAACGAAATCCAAGGAGATCTTCCCAAATTTGATAAAGCGTGCCTATCTATAGAAATTTATTCATAATAAGTCATTTTTGAAAATATAATAGATATATATCTATGAAATATATAGAAAATAGAATCAAAAAATCTGTTATATATAAGTCGTATAAATTTCTTTAACTATAAGAAATGAATCTATTTAATATATCTTTTATATAAATAAATAATTTTAGATTAGATTCAACGATTCTATATGAAATTGACGATATAATATATAGATTTCTATTTTCGAACGTCTTCTTTCTATAAATAGATACGAACGCACGTTTTCGTATCCCAAAAGCATTTCGTATCCCAACCGCAAGGCACAACGGCTTATCCCATAATGAAATTTTGCATCCCAAAATCGAATCCCCATGGCATAATATACGCAAATATACGGGAAGGCGAAACTAAAATCATCCTTCCCTGGCGGTTTATATTATTCAGTATATGAAAAATAGGCGCAGATACGTATCTCCGAGGTCCAGCTACGCAGGGCACAGTGCATTTTAATTCTTTGAAAATATATATAGGAAATCTAAGGCAAAATTATCGTTCCTTGGCATTTCATATTATTCAATATATAGAAAAATACGCGCAAACGCGCATCTCCGAGGTCGAATTCCGCAGGATATAGTGCATTTTAGCTATTTGACCGCCCCATATAGGAAAACGAGGTTGAACTATCGACCCCTGGCATTTCATATTAATCAGCATATGAAAAATATGCGCAAACGCATATCTCCGAGGTCTACTTCCGCAGGGCACAATATACTTTAAATCTCTGAGAATATATATAGGAAATCCAAATCGAAATTATCGTTCTTTGGTATTTCATATCATTCAATATATGAAAAATAGACGCAAGCGTATATCTCCGAGGTCGAGTTCCGCAGGTCACCGTATATTTTAACTAGTTCGATGACGCGCCCCAAGGCGCAACGCGGTTAATTGATCGGCAGAAATCAAGATAAAATCAGCTCGTATTCCTATATAATATCTGAAAATTCCTATAAAGTTCTATAAGATTCGAGAAAGAGAGATATTCGGGATGGCGTAGACCTCCGCGATATCTCCTTATCGATATCCTCTCGATATCCCAAGTCCTCAATATAAACATTCCTATTTTCACGGCTCCTCTCCTCCTTATTTATCATTGCGGCTTATTCCCTACGCAAACCTTAAACCCGGCATCTAGAGCTTCAGAATATATATACGACATACTATCGTAAAAACCGTCACGCCTATGACAGATATCAATACGAAATCAATATTCTAATATTCTAAGAGATTTCGTATCTAAATCTATTTTGAATATCAAATAAAAATCATCCACTTCTCCGATTCTCATATCAATAGAGATTATATCCTAAAATCATTTCAAATCCAACGTGTCCCATGACTTATATCAAATATATTCCCTTCATCAATACCATGATTTATATCAAATATATTCCCTTCATCAATAATATTTATAAATTTATGAATGATCTATTCCGCAAGAAATAATAATTTTCGTATAGGGTCATTAGATTAAGCGCACGAAATAATGAAGACTCAAGAATTCCTTGCCACGCATCTTAAGATTCAGATCAATATGTCTCCTCATTTCGTAAATACCGTAAAATAGAATAGAGATTTCTTTTCATGAGAATTTCAAAAATCTAAATCTTCAAATCTTAAATCCTAATTCCAGATCCCAATCTTTCAATTCTCCAATCCTAAGTCCTCATCTTTCAAATTTGAAATTTCAAATCGTAAACCTCTAAATCCCAAAATTCTGAACCTTCAATCTCTAAATCCCTATCCTATAAACCCCTAATCTCTAAACCCGAAACCCCTGAACCCTCGCCCCGCAAACCCCAAACCCTCAACCCCAAACTCCTATGCCCTCGATCCGTAAACGCTAAACACTGAACCCTAAAGCCGTAATCTGTAAACCCTCAACTCCACACCCCTAAACCTGCAATCCAAAAACCCTGAACCCGTAATCCCCAAACCGTCAACCCGTAAACCTCACCCTGAAACCCTCTGCTGGGTTCAACTTGAACTCAACAGAGTTCAAGTTGAATTCAACTGAACTCAGTTGAGTTCAATTGAATTCGATTGAGTTCAACTAGACTCAGCTCAACTCAGTTAAGTTCAACTGAACTCCGTTAAGTTCAACTGAACTCAATTGAATTCAATTGAACTCAGTTGAGTTCAATTGAACTCAGATGAATGCAGCATGGGTTAAATAATTTGATAAAAAATAATCAACTTATTTAAACCTCGTTCTGCTAATGCAATGATCTGCCGCTATGGCTCTTGCTAAAAAGATAATTCTGCGCTGGCGCATCAGGGCGAAGCCTCTAAGTTTGAGGGTGTCACTGTCACTGCCACAGTCGCTGTCAGTGTCACAATCACAATCACTGTCACTGTCATAGCCACTGCCTGTGTCACAGTCACTGTCACGGTCACGGTCGCATTCACGGTCGCAATCACGGTCACAGTCATTGTCGCAGTCATTGTCACAACCACGAAAGCTCTGACGAACCGAGGAACTTGCCTCGTCAAAGGTATCCAGGGCCAGCAACGGTTGTTTCAACGCGCTATCGTTTCGAGCACTCCGACATCATCCAAGGCAGGGGATGTATCAATTCAAAAACCTGTTCTCTATTTGGAAGATTCCTGGCTACAAATGTAGGAAAACTCGTGACCTCGAAACTCGCGAGGGCGATGCTACGTTCGAAACGATATAATCAAGACCTCAAGAATGAACACATTTCATCTCAAGAAGAATGCAGCAGCAAACGGACGAAACCTTCAAATTCCAGAGAAAATCCGATCGGACGAAACGCGCAAATTCTAAAGAATTCCATGATTTTATCCACGAGCAACGATCGGACGAAACCCCAAGAATCCCAAGAATTTCAGATCAGATAAAACGTAGAAATCCCCAAGGTTTTCAGGATTTCGTCCGAAACCAAACCCTCAAAATCTTCAGAAGTTCAGACATTTCGTCCATCACCTTCGCCTCGGACGATACCCTCAAAATCACGAGAATTTACTGGTTTTGTCCAGGCTCGGAGAGAACACTGAGAGGTAAACGCTTCCGAGATGCCTTAGAATCGAAATTCTCGAAATTTTCAGGGTTTCATCCAGAGTAGGGCTCCCTGCGGAAAACCGATTACAGAGGATGCGCGTGACGTTTTATAGAATAAAAATCTTATGGTATTCTCATCAATATTAATAAGCAAAAAGAAATTTCTTATTGTTAGAGCGAATTTCAATGATCGTAAATTAAAGGCTCCTAATATTGTATATAATCTCTAAGATAATTTCTATTTTTCCTTCTAAACCTAAATCCTATGCAACCTATATTATTACAACCCCGTTATATTGCCCAATTTGCGCCCCCATTATCTTCCAGATTATTTCAATTTTCAGCAGTGGGTCATATAATACGGATTAATCAGCAAATCTTATATGGTAAATTCCGGCATGTCTCCCCCCCCCATCAGCTCCTGATTTCTAATTCTCATCCTGAAGAGGTCATCAAAAAATATTGATCAAAGAGTCTTTGTGCATTCAAGCGTTAAGCTTGTATTTGGTACTTTTCTCGCAAATCGAAAGCGGGTCAGACAGTCAGAGGTCAGGACAATCAGATTTTCTTGTGGCTGGTCGCCAAAGGGTCAACATAAGACCTCGGCAGGTCGAAATGATGCGTTGTGCCCTGTGGCTTTGACAAGTGCAGGTTGAGCGGCCCCAGTGATTCCACCTGTCCGGGAGGTGTCGCTTGCTTGGTTTCGCTGTCTGCTGGACAAATTAACTTTGCAATTGGTGAGGCGAGCTGCATCCCAGTCAAATTCGTCCAAATCCTCCTCATCGCCAGTGTGATCGACTTCTTCTAATAGATCATGATGCCTGAAGGGTCAGAACACAACATTCCTAGCGCTTCATGCTGCAGGATTTTTGTCCCTAGAAGGCAGGAGGCCCTGCCTGACAATCTGCAAGCAGGACTGGTCAATCTGGCAGCAAGCAGATGACTTTCGCAACGCAAGGCATCAACAATTTGCAATGTGTTAATGTGCTCTACAATCAATCTTCCAAGGGGCTGTTTGACAATATTGCCACCTGCAAGCGGTTCCACACGGCGTGTACTCTATCAAGGGCTTGGTTTTCTTTATAAGCATCCAACAATGGCAAGACATTGAAGGGTTGCTCGACTCGTGAGCCAATGTCCTGCGGCAGTCACTACTCGCATACAAATGGCAATGACTCAAATCCAATGTGCACGTCAAATCACGCGTAGTCCTCAATGCCAAGCATAAAGAAACTGGTCACCAGAGTCACTGGTACCGTCAGAACCGGCCCAGCCACTGGATACATCGCTAGAGGCCTCAATCTGCAGAGCTGTATTCAAGCATTTCCATTCTTGCACCTCTTCTACTGGAAAATCGCTAGCCTGCGGCCCTTGTGCAGTTCCAGCACAGTTTTGGCCACTTGCGTGCACTTGGGAGCAGACAGGAAATTACACCACCTCAGTGTTCTGGCCGCAGGCATGTTCACAGGGTCGTGCAATGCAGCTAGCTTTGCAGAAGCACAAATGATTTGCAAATGGGAAGCATGAACAAAAAGCGGCTGGTAAACCTTGTATATGGCGTATAGATTGGCGTTCGAAGGATTTTCTCGCACGCGCCAAGGACCTGCAAAAACTAGCAAAAGCACTTCTTGCCTAATCTTGAAAACAGTGGAAACGTGGAAACAGCAACTGCACTTGCAAGTAGCTCTCACTAATGCATAGCAGATAGCAGCTTGACCTAAGTCATCCCGGATGGCTTGTATCGAGCCCTGAGCAGGGCACGTTGTGAAACGTGGTGAGGCTGCGATCCATCTCCGTCGCTGCAACTGGATCTAGTCCTCCAGGGCAGACTGCAAAAAGCCCCGGATGTAAGGGCAATCTGACGAATCAGTGGCGCGCTTTCCTGCCTCCCAGAGATGGTTGGGAAAAGATATTCGCACTAGTGTGCTGCAGCTCGTGCAACACGTACAATGGGCGATTTGCTATGTCCGCCTAGCACTGGCAAAATCTTTCCGGCCATGCAAGACCCCGTGTCATGATATGCCTCCACATGCCTCCACCAATCGCTCGGTGAAGCTCTTCTGCTTGTCATCATACGGATTCCAAAGTTGTTGCAGCTCACATCTCAACGCCTTGGCCCCATCCAGAAGCTGCCGGGCTGTTCACAATACTTGCCTCCAGGAACTACAACGATAAGCTTCTGGTTTGCTTGCTGGGGTTCTGCGGTAGTTGCTTGTCGGATTTGATGGTCCGATGTCCATTGCCTTGGCTTGCAAAACTTGTCACATCAAACAGCTGAAGTGCGGAGAAGGAGTCCTGACAACCTTAGCGCGCACAGCCCCACTCTCGGACCCCTAGCCAGTCCAGCTGAAGATGCTTTATTTCGATATGTGGATTGCATCCATCCTCGGTCAGGTGGTATTTCAGCACCACCGGCAGTGTCCTTGCGCATGACATGTTTCGATTCCGAACATGTGCGAGCAACAGCCGCAAACGCTATCTCCGGAAAGTCCTGATAAGCTTGACCGCATACATCTTCCCGTCTGCGACGTCCGAGGACAACATACCTTCAGGCTGACTCCTTAACATACTGCAAAGAAGTGGAGTCATGATGCAGGCTAGTGGGTCCAGCCTGTCGCTGTCGTGGAGGGCACTCGAGCCATGATGCGACTTGCCATGGCCCGGGACTCATTGATGAGCAACCCCCACAGGGAGCGACCTTCAGTAAACCTTCCAGGAACTGTGAGGCAATCGGCACAACAAGCCAAGAAGATGCTGGGAAGTTGGGACTGGCAACTTCTTGAGGCATTGCTTGTCCTGTGATCCTGGACTCAGTGAGCAGCCAAGGAGCCGCTGGTAGCTTGTCTGAGTCTTGAAAGTCACCTGAAACACCGAAGTCTGCCGTTGCACGGTGCAATTGCTAGGCAGCTTATTATGGCAGCTGGCATCCGAACGGGGCAGCTAAAATAAACTGCTGGTTAGCAAGCCTTGTCGCACGGGCCGTGTGCCAATGCAGGGCTAAAGTTTACAGCAGAACGCCGGGTCGCCAGCAAGCCCAGTGCCACAGAAGTCAGCGTAAAACACTCCACCTTGTCGTTCAGCAAACACCCAATGCTCAGTTGACTAGTTGGCAGCCAAGTGGCCGGAAGTGAAAGCAAGCTTGGCAGTGCCACGTCGAAGCCTTGGACAGCTTGTGGCTTATTTACGGTGGATTTGTGAAGCCGGGTACAAAAAGGGTGCAAGGTCACTACGCCATGTACACCTCAAGGCCTACATGAACGGACACGCAGAGCTTGGGAGCTTGATCTCTTGAGCACTTCGCAAAAACTCAGGCTTATTAGCCTGACAACCTTGCACCAAACAGGCGCATTCCATGAAGAAGCAGCTACACAAAACAGCTGCTTGCAGCGTTTCACTCTAAGTAACATGTAGGGTACCACATTTCTCCAAGACGCCTCCCATAAACTCGTGCTGGTTATCTGCGAGCTTAGGAACCAGCATCTCGGGTTTCACCTTCCTGCATCCTAAACCTTTCAATGCAAACACAAATCAGGTCTGGGGCAGGCATACGCCAAGGCCGATGTAGGTACTCGATCCGTTATAACTGGCGCACATATCGCATCCGCGGATGCAAGGCACACCAGACACAACTCATCGATTATGTTGGAGGAACGCTGGACATTAAACGCAGCTTATCCAGCACATGTCAACCAGCCTGCATGTACAGGTTCGGTCCAGTGAGCAAACAAATCGCAGCGCGAAGCAGGCGCCCAAACATGATCTGATGGCTTCCGCAATATATGATTACTAGAAGTGCCTCGAAGTTGCTCTGATTCAGAACACTTGCGACGAAGTCTGCGTGAACATTGTAGTAGCAAATGAAACCTGGCGAGCATGCTACGCAGGGGCCGCTTGTCTGCGCTTCGGGCCTACCTCGCCCTGCAGATTGGTCTACTATGGTTAAGGCGTTGCTTGCATTGGTGACTTCGTGCAGGCATGCCAAAGCGTTTTCACTACAGCCAAGCAAAATGAGCGCCCTCATAAGTGCAGGTGCAGGCTGCACAACTAAGCCACGCAAGCAACGCATGCCAGAGCTGCTGGATGTCGCGCCAATGAGAGCCAAGTCTGGAAAAATCAATCGACGAATGTTGTCCGACTTTATGATCTTCCTTAGCATTGTTTGCAAGACCTCTTGAGCCTGTATTCTGAAGCGCTTGACCCCACAAAAACAATAACTCCGCTCTATCCACCGTTCAACCTCCTTAGCTGCTTGGAATCGAAGGCGTCCAAAGCAACAGGTGCCGCGTGGCCCGCTGGTGCCTGCTGCGAGGAATGACTCGCGGGACGGTGCTCTGGGTCGGCATGTGGCAACTCAACAATTTAAGCACTTCCGGAGTTTGGAGTACTGGCCCCCAATTAAAACTGGCCTACGCCAGTGTCGGAAGGTGTAACCTCAAGCTGCGCAGGTAGATCAGCACAAGCTTGCTGATGTACATGCTGTGCTTGGCTATCTCCCATGAGCTGCAGACTCATATCGATGGTGATTTTGCGCAGAAATCGAGAGATGCTGTTCATCCCGTGGTCTCGGCAATAGTGAAGGGACATGGCGCCAGCTGATGCCTTCGGCATTCCATTCAAGGCAGGCTCCTACGTTTTGTGCTGGCACGTTGGTCCTGTGATCTGATGCAATGCAGCTTTTTTCATGCGTAAGGCCCTCAGAAGGGTGCATTTGAGTACACCTCGGGCTAGAGAGCCTGGCTAAAAAGCTACTACGTGGCCTCGCTGCGGCGTATGCTAGGCCTACGAGCAAGTCTAGACGGCAGGGACTCATATGCAATTGTTGGCTTTGATCTTTGGGATTTATTGAAAACGTACTGAGGGCGCCGTGCGAAGGTCAGGGTGAGTCTGTGCCCCACACACACCCGCAGAACGTTGATGCGTGCACTGTAACTTACAGTGGTACGCAGACTAAGGCTGTTCATGAGGCAAAGTTAAAATCTGAAACTTAGTTTTCACTCCAGGCCTCAACTAACTGACAAGCTAGGGATGATCACATAATGTCCTCGGCTAGATGAGAGTCATGGCCCGGCCAGAATGCAAAACTGATCCAATTTGGCAGCAAATTTGGATGCATCGGTTTGGACCCTTTTGTCAAGTGACTTGGGAAATTTACATGAAGTGGCGAGAAAGGTCCTAAGTCCTGAAAGCATGCACCCTTTAGCCTCAAGCGCCAACTTGCCACTTACCCCGTGCCTGAAAGAGCCGTCGTTGGGCCTCTGCTTGCACCTCGGCATCGCGGACCTTGCAACAAGCTCGCCAGTCAAGCTCTGATAGGGCTTGTGATGCTCTTGCTGCGGCCTGCGCTCAAAACGGCCAGCCACGTCTCTGTTTGCACTGCCGAATTTCCCGCCTGCTGGGCATTAGCCTGGTCGTCGTTGGCGCTCTCCGCGCCTTGTTGTTGTATCGCAACAGCTTCTACTGTCATCATTGAAGAGCACGAGGCACAGAAGGACTTCACGCCCAGTGCTCAGCCGTACACACTCAATGGAATGATTGGCATCAAGCTACGAGAAAGCCAAAGTTGCTTTGCAAGCACTCCGGCCTCTCTCCGACGTGGAAATACTTCTGAAGACAGGCTGAACGCACTTGCACTTCGCACACCGGAGTCTTGTGCTCAATGGAGTGTGCGAAAGGGCTCTCAGCATTGCCTCAGCCATGTTTGCGGAATGGGCGAGTGGAATTTTCTGTTGCCAATTACCAGCACCGCAAGCAAGCCAAGGTACTTCACGCAGAGCTGTCAACGCTTTGGCTGACTGCTTCAGAGTCGGCTCCTTGTGCCATGGAGCCTGGAAACTTGAGGTGACGCGAGATGGCCTAAGACGTTCTTTCTGTCATGGTTCAATCTTCATCTATCTTCCTTAAAGCAGCATGATTCTAAAACGCTGATGCGGTTTGCCGCTCAAACTATCGCAGGTAGAAATGTTTCATGACGGGCTGGGCTTCTGTCAATGGAATCTGGATTGCTGAGTAGGGGCAGGCTGCGAAATGATCGGAACCATGGCAACATGCACAGCAGCATACAAAGCCTTGCCAGCGTTGAACCTTTTTTTGCTGAGGCCGAGCTGATTCTCTTCAGCGCAAGGCAATTGTCTGTGCTCCCCAGTGGGAAGAATTACGACAATTTGTGCAGACGCCATGCATGCGCTCAACTGAATTCTTGTACATAAGTTGCAGCTTTTAAATACAGCCCAGGAATCCGTGTTCCTACCACGCCGACGATAGGAACAGCAAAATGTTCGCCTGCTGCTGCGCAAGCTGAGCCAGAGCACCACCTGAAACCCTGCTCAGGGTGGTTAAGCTGGAAGACGGTCTGATTCTTGGACATTATGAAGCCGAAGGTCTGTTGGAAGTGCACAGCTCAGATCCACGTTCACCGGCCTGCGCTCTGCAGGAAGCATGTCCAGCATGTCCCGCGGCCTGGATATGGGTTGCTGCTCTTGCAGGTGGCCGGCATTGAAAATTGGGAACTGCTTGAAACAGCCTAGCTGCTGGAGCGCACAACGCACAAAAACGTGCAGGGGCCCTTGGGGCTTCAGCACCAAGACGCGTTTGTGCAGCATTTCCAGCTTAGGCTCTAGATGTTGCCCTCCAGTGCAGCTTGTAGTTTGGCAAGCTGCTTAGACATCCTGAGTTGAACCATGGAAACGTGGAAACAACGCCGCCCCCTGATAAACTTCCGCATGGGTACCTGAAGTAGCTCTTCTTCTGACCCTGTATCAGGCTCGCTGCTGGGATTACCCTATCTCTGGGTGTCCTACTTCCTCTTCCCATACACCAGAAACAAACACAAAAAGATCTGCAGCAAGGGTACTTCTTGTCTCCTTGTGCATGGGTTGCGATCTGCCTCGTTGAAGCGCAGACCATCGTGCAAGGTCAGAGTGGCACTGCGTGCTGATTCAAACCCAGCCGAGATGCATGACGGCATGCAGGATCCTGAGGTAGCAGCGGCAGGTATGAACACGCAACGCGACATTTAACACAAGAGTAGTACTTAAGTTTTGGCAAGGAATCTTGTCTGCTGAAAAGCCGTGGGATTCGAGGAGATCCTTCAGCATGCCCTGCACCAAAGGCCTCGCAAGCGCAGAGGTTTCCTGCAAATTTCACACTCTTGATGTCTTGAATTTAGGTGCTGAGCTCACGTATGTGGGTGCATACACTCAAACACAATAAAAAGAGAGGGGGGGAGTGAGAGAGACCCTCTACATGGTACCCCCCATGAGCCTCACATCTGGTCAGGAAATTAGACATCGCAATGAGTATTCATTTAATGTGGTGGGCAGTCACTGGGTGGCCATAATTTCAGAACCCTTTCAAACAGAACAGTTGAAGAAAACTTCCAGGTTCCCACAGTAGAATTCTGGACTGCAAGATTTCCAGGCCTCCACCTTACCCGATGTGTAGATTTCCACGTTTCTAGAGATCTAGATTTCGACTTTTCTAGTCTTCTAGATGATTTCTAGAAAAACTGGACATCTAGAAATCAAGAAAATTGGAAAACTACAATGGCTAACAAATCCAAAATCTAGACATTTAGAAAACTTGAAGCCTAGATAACTGCAACTCTAGAAACCTAGGAAACTCGAGAAAAAAAATTCAAACCCTGAAATCTGCAATCTGGAATTCCGGAAATGCGGAATTCTGGCAATCATTGATTTTAAAGCCAATAATCCAGGGGGGGGGGCCTCAACCATCCCCATCCGCACCACCCCATGTAACGCGCATAGAAACCGATCCAAACCCTCTGTCAAAATTAGGGTCCCTTTTTGGGTACCCTAAATATTAGGTGCCGTATTAAAATAGGGATCCAAAAAGGAACCATAATTTTGACAAGCACCCGCATATGCGATCTTGCCGTGGCCTGTGGAGGATCCCAGTAAATTCATTCCATAAAGCAATCACTCCGCAAACAAACTCTGGCACAAGTCTTGTTCAGTCACGAAACCAAGGCAGCCAACCCTGGTATGGTCTGAACAAGATGGTGCGGACCTTGTCTGATATACTTGAAAAAGGCTATCAGGAAACCTTACTTAGAGTCTTTCCTAGCAGCCTTCATGAGGAGTTATGAATGTGATGATCATAAACCTACTAGCACGGATCCCAAAACATTTCTGAGTCTTATTCCTACGCCCTATGCAGGATCATCAATAAATCCCTGCTAAGAATCCTGTTCCAAGAACTCCTGAAAAGGGCCTCTAGCCGACAGAAGAAGAAGAAGAAGGAGAGAGAGAGAGAGCGCGGAGGCTAGAGCAGTGAGAAGAAGAAGAACAAGATACAATTATGTGTATATATATAGAGAGAGAGAGAGAGACATATAACACGTATGTATGTGTGTATATATGTATATACATAGATATTGTTTATACACACCAGATGAGCATTCGATTGCATGCAGAGTGGTTCGCATGACCTGCATTGTGGTAGGTTAGTGGCGTTTGGCTTGTGCCAGGCTTCTTTGAGGATGACTGCGCAAATCTCCTCCCATTTAACAACAGCCCAATGACGATCCCAGCCAGCATTGCGTATCAGGATGGAAAACCGATCTCTAAATACCATGAGGACGAAGAACAACTCCAAAATAAGACGGTTGATCAAACTCCCAGCACAGGTTCATAATTAGTTGCCGAATCAGAATATCCGGATCCTAGTTAAGGATCGAAATCGACCCGCAGAAGCTCCCTAACAGGAGTCCCCAGTGAGGAGGCCTTTTACGAATACCCACTCAAATAATGATCTTTGATGAGATCGTCGGATGCGCATCCCTGATTCAAGAGAGCCTATAACAAGACTGCTGAATCAGGACGCCCAATAGACTTCAGTAGTAATCTCGGAACTCTTAATCAGACTCCTGCTAAGGACGTTCATGGGGACTTTACAAAAAACCCAGCAAACAAGCTGTATAATGGACCATGGCCCCCAAGCAGAGATTCTTAGTAAGGATTCCAAATAAACATTCCTGCACGAACACTCCCAATGAGGACAAGAAAGATTCCTGATATTCATTCTTTTCGAATCCCTACATGAGGCTTCTCTAAGAAAATGCGAAGCATGACGCATAGCAGAGTGCAAAGTGTTGTCTACAATCTAGTGTGAGAGGAACTTTCTTTCTTTCTTTCGTGCGGGCTCTGGAGAGGAGCGTAAGCCCCCCTCCGGGCTTCAATGCCCAGCCCGTGTTGGGCCTACTAGGTCGGTTTACCCCTCATGTGGTGAGGCTGCTGTTGTGAGCTCTCGCTGTCTCTCTCTTCTTCCACGGGCGAAAGAGAGGCCTACGACTCCCCCAAGGCACTGCCCGCGCCCCATGTCTCAAGCCGTCCAGTCGGGTACCCCGGAGGCCCGAAGGAACACCTACCACGTCCCTGCACACATTTCTGTCTCTCTTCTTCTTCTTCTATAGGCTATGCAGCATCAGACATGCTGCGGGGGCGAACCCCCAGCCCGCGAAGTTCAGTCAGGCGTCGCAATGAGGCTCTCGTGTTCACCGGATTGTTACATAAGAGAACCAATCTTCTTCTTCTACCCGTCCCCCCCTCCCTATCCGGTGCACTTCTCCTCTTTTGCCGGAAAATGGTCGGGTTTCCTTTCTGTCTTTCTTTCTTCTTCTCTCTCTCTCTCTCTCTCTCTTTGTAGCTTTATTGCCGCCTCTTGAGCGGTGTATTTCAGAGGTGCCATTCTCAAGAGTCAAGGCACATCAAGACGGCCATTTTCTTGGCATCATCACCACGGCAACTGTTGACCTTGGAAAATTCGAACTGCCCTGCAAGCACAGGCATGCCATGCATGTCTCAGGGAAGCCCCAAGTTCAGTGACAAGCCACGGCCTCTTGCAGCTTGCGCTTGTTCTCTGGCGTCTCAAAGATGGCCTAAGCTACAGAGCTTGCCAATGTCCCAGACTGTTTGCTTGTTTTGGCAGAAGCATGTCGCGACGCCTGAAGTGCTCGCAGCAGGTCCGACATTGAATAAGAGATACTGCGATGGTCATCTTGAAGTCACGGCAGGCTCTGAACAAGTCATTACTCGGGCCCGCGACTTGTTGCGAAAACTGCTGCGGCCCTTGCTTTGTGCATGCTAGTGCCTGGGTGTAAGAATGTTTGAGGACCTCTAATGCGGCAATGTGGCAAGTGCTCGGTTGAGCGCGTCTTTGGCCTGATCCTGAACATGTAGAACATGCATATCAACAATCTGCAAAGGTCTGCAAAGATTTGCAGCCTGCCTTGGTCAGCTTTGCGCTCGGACCTGGCGCAGGAGCTGCCGCCGATTTCGCATCGCCTCCACATGCTCGGGTTCAAAAGTGCATGGGCACTGCCGGTGCGCAAGCCCGTGATGGTCGGGGACAGTTCAAACCAGCGCACATGCAAGTGAGGATGGGTCCGAATTCAAAAATCATAGCCTGCTGGGGCAAAGGATAGTTAATGCACCTTGCATGTTCGGGCAGCGGGTTTGTGTGAGAGATGCTGTGTCAGAGCTGATTAGCCTTCAGACGCATTCATGTGACAGGGATCTCGGGCACGGTCTCTTTCTTTCTTTCTTTCGTGCGGGCTATGGAGGAAGGCAGTTGCCTCCCTCCGGGCGCGGTCTCTCTCTCTCTCTCTCTCTCTCTGCCATGCCATCCAAAGGGTCTTGCGAAGCAGGGGCACGCTATGCAAGTGAAACCAGCTGAGTCCTTCAAGCACCCCGTAAGCGTCCACGAACGCTCACAACAATGCCATCATACGCTCAGCTCAATCTGAAAGACAACCACTCCACTCTACAACTACATGCCCCATCGCTACCTCTCCACAACTAGTAGGACAAGCCCCCATCAATCGCCCACACAGATCAGCATGTCGCTGCTCTGGAAACGCTATTTTGCCCGCATGGGAGGCTGAGGCCAAAAGAGTTTTGCTTCGGGCCTTGGGCTTTGGCTTTGGGTTTCGCTTTGCCGCTCGCCGTCTGTGCTTTCTTGGCCTCCTCCCAGAACGGGCAACAGCGACCATGTCTCGCCACAAAGATAGTTTGGGCGCGTGAACCATCATGAACCGCTTGCAAAACTTGCTGGCAGTCCTCTTTTTTGCTAATTGCCTTCTCCTCTTCTTCCCTTTGTTGCTTTTCCAATTCTCTGAGTCTGGCGTCCTTGGCCTGCCGCTCCTTAGATCAATCAAAGCTCGTCTCAACGGCATATAACGATTTGGGCAGGCTGAGCACTGAATCACTAAGTACCCTGCAGCTTCTGCTTGCTTCGCTGCAGCTTTGCGCGCCTTGCACTTGCATTGGCTTTGTTTTGCTGTCTACAGGCAGCAGCAGAGCACTGGGACTGCGGCCGCTGCACGCTCAGCAAGCAACTTGTCCACTTCTGGGCGGGCCGCCTGCGAGCCAGCTAAGGTTACAGCTGTCACGTTTTGCGTCAGGGAGTGCCTCTGCAGCCTTGCGCATTTCGTTCTGGGCTTCGGCCATTTGCTTCCAAAGCGGCTCCGACTCCATGCCTAGCAGGGCTTCAACGGCTGTCGCCTCTACTCAGCATGCACATTGCACCAGCAGGCACATAAAAATGTCAGCAAGCGTAGGCTCGTTGCTGAAGTGTTGCGTGATCTAGGGTTCAAGGCCACAGTTGTATTAGATTGACAGTATTGCAGCCCGTGTGGTTCCCGCGCAGTTGCAAGACTCTTCTCCTCGCAGCGTGTTTGGCTTTAGTACGGCTGCAGCTCGACCAGGGTCGGCTTGCAACCCGCGCGTCGCACAGCAGGCATGCACGGACTGATCGAACTGATCCCGGTCGCCTCGATCCCTTCATGAAAGTGGGGCTTCAGGATTTTGCGAGCTTTGAAGGCTGCTACTAAAGGGCCTCGTGAGGCACACAGGGTAAAAGCTTAACGCCTAGCGCTATCACGCCAGGGTCCAGGTATGTATCATATATGCATATATATATATATCATGTATCTTTGCTTGTTTTCCCGGTACTTGGGGTTTCTGTGTCTCTGGTATGGGTCGGGGTTTAGGGTTTTCAGGGCTTAGGCTCCTTTGGGGTTTGTGGCGTTCAGCGCTTGGGACTTTAGGTTTTGTAGGGTCCAGGCTTTTGAGAGTACAGGCCTAATTATGAGGGGCGAATGCCTTCGTGATTGAGAGCTGTCATAGGTTTCTAAGGTGTTGAGGATACGGCCTGAAGGGGTGCTTTTTAGAGTAAGGCTTTGGGGCTTTTTGCTCCTCACGGTCTCTTCAACGCGTTTCAAGGACTCAGCTCAGAGGTTGCAAAGCCACGGCTGCGTGCGACAAATGCAACACCCTAGGATCCTTGACCTGACCGGGGTTTCATACCTCAGACGCACCTTGATACATGCATAGGCTTTCAACCTGAACCCTGAAACTTACAAACTTTAACTTTGAACCCTCACCCACTGACAAGTCCTCTTGTGAGAGGCTTAGGACCCAACAAAACGGATGCACCCTCAAACCACCAAGAGGGTGACTCTCGATGTTGTTTTCGAGCCCAGCCTACGCCTGCACTCTTGACCGAGCAGGGTTCCGCATCCTCCACCTGAACAAAGGCCAATGTTAGTTGTAACCACGACTGAGCACCTCATACATGAGCAGAACGTGCATATCGAAAGGATTCATGCGCTGCTCAGGGTAGGCTCAACTCAACCCCCCGCTTTCATCTTGAGGCTTTTGGCCTATTTCTGACACGGTGCGACCTTGTCTTGGACAAAGTTAGAGCAGGCCGTGCCCATCTGCCTGCAGCGCTTCAAATCCGCAAGGGTTGGCGGGCACATCACTGGCCCTGTCCTTGTGGGCTGCTGGGATTTCAACTGCTGGCCCAGCTGAGATTGATTTTACGCAGCTGCAGCTAAGCTTAAACCCCTCAACGGCATCGGAGCAGATACCCCTGTCTGAGGCTGGAGTGGCAGCGGATGATCAGCACTGGTTGAAAGAATGACTTCAAAGCGACCTGTGCAAACGTGGCATGACAATATTCGCTCCACTTCATGAAGCACAATCAATCCTTTTACGTCTGCAGTGGGACACCTAAGCTCTCCTCCTCACCAGACGCGTCGCTCCGCAAGCTTCCTGATCAAGCCGTGCAGCCTCAACTCCGGTCCAGCACCTCTAGCCCTGCGCAAAGCGAAATCAATCTAAAATGTGAACTAAGATGAATTAGGATAAGGTGATCCACTCATCAGCCTGCAGTGCATCTGCTTGAGAAAGCCTGTGATGCTGCTGCCACCACACTCTAAACTGGAAGCAAGAGTGAATCACATGGAGCAACAGCGATCCTGATGCTGAACTGAAAACTCAGTGCATGCACAGGAGCATCAGCCCGCGCATTGATGCCAATGTCAACAAGGTTTGCCAAGAGTCTGGGAGAACGTTGCCTTGCCAGCCGCGCTTCTGGAGTTGAAGGCAGCACGTCGCTCAAGTTTTATAAGGCCTGATCTGGCACTGACGCCGCGGAAGGTTTCACCGTCACCTGCAAAAACAAAACTGATAAGCGCCATGTGGTCTTTCCTGAACTGTCTGACCTGGCCCAATTTGAATCCACCGCCACCATTCTGATTGCTGCGCCAGCTGGCTGATGGTTGGCTTGTCACAGTTGAAGCCTCCTGCCTATGCAAGCGCAATCCACACTTAAAAGCACGACAGCAAAGCGGGACAGCATAATGATGATGTTGCGGCAAAGCTGCGGAACAAGCAGGAGAAGAAGTTTTGGCTCGTCCTTATCTGAGGCTTCGTAGGGTTACAGAAGTGACGAAGCCTCTGTCCGCGGATAGCTTGCAGAAGACTGCTGCGACATCAAAACTCCATATTTCAGGCTGCTCATGCCGTTAGACCCCATCCAAAACATGCCCAAAAGGACCTTGGAAGCACAGTTTGAAGGGATGCCGCGCGCATCTGCAATCTGAGATGCGTATGCCTGTACCTCTCTATATATGTGTGTAGATATATACACATATGTGTATAAATTGTGTATATATGTATATGTATACAGCCCAACAGAACTACATATATACATATATATCATAATGCAAATTGTGCCCTGCCCCCTCCAAAGCAACTCTGTTCTTACACACGGTGAACCTTTGAAGCATAGCCAAAGCTCGGCTGCAAAGACCAGAAGCGCAGCGAGCAGGGTACGGTTTTGGTACTTTAATTGCTAATATGATATATTGTAATATACTAGTAGACTATATTCGATTCTAGGATATTCTAATATATTATAGCATACGTACACTAATCCATTATGAAGGGTCCACCAACTTATGTACACAGAGACATCATCGGTTTAACAAGGCCTAGCCCTGAACGAAACTTGAAAGCGTGTCGAAGGCGTGATGACCTTCAATGCAACGAGCCTGTTAAGCATCTGTCAAGTTCGGGGAAAGATCTGAATCCAAGTTAAGCCAGACTGATGCCAGGGAGCACTGGTTGCTGATTTTTTCCCCCAAAGCCAGCGCCAAAACAGCAAGCAAGCACGCCGAAGCAGTAAACAAAAAAGATCGTCTCCATCTCCTTGGCTTTGGCACCAAATACTGATGCATACTGATGCTGCGAATTTCCACGCAGACTCCCATCCAGTCAGAGTTGCAAAGTTGTCAGCTTGGGCTTGGAGATCAGGCGCAGCAACGCCAACAACTGCGCCGTCCTTTGATTACAGTTAGCTTCTACTGACAGCGATATAAGGTTACGCGCTCAATACGTTTTTCTCGCGGCGGCATGCCTGAAGTCCCGTCAGTCTAGCGTGTGAAGTTCTTTCAACTGCACGTAGAGGTCGCATTCTGACAGACTACTGCACTAGGGTGAGCCAGCACATACCAGCAGTTCCAGCATTGCAGCCCCCTGCAGCGAATGGCAGCTCTAGCTTCAGCTCCGAGAAGCTCTCGAAAGTCCCAGTCAGCTCGGTCCCAGGCGATGGCAGGATCAAGCTAAAGTGGCCCTTGCACTTGCAATCAGAAACTGAAAAGCTTAGCTTCTTAGACTCCGTAGCGACCACGGTTCCCTTGTACTCATGATCCCAGGCAGCGTGTGACTCATAGGGGTCATAATCTTCATCCTCATCATCCGAGGTGATTTCAGTCTCCTGTATCGCAATGTCGAACTTACCATTAGCGTGAATTTGGACCTGGACATCCGCACTCGTGTTGAAGCCAGCCGGTCCATCCGACCCAGCACTGCTGTAAGTGAATCTGCCGACTGGGAAGGAAGACATGACGAGTGTCAGCACTGAGGCAGGTGGTATGGCATGCTCCACCGTCCAATGGTCTTCGAGCACACTATCGCCATGGAGCAATATCGCCCCGGCAGCACTGGTTCCATTTTTGGTCTCAAGCTCCTGCTTCAACGCCCATATTGTACCATCCGTATTGAAGTCCAGTTCAATCTCCTGGCCGCTGGGCGTGCAAATGTTGAGCCGCCTGCACGACTCGGCCATGGCTTCACCGCTTTGGACTTGTGGGATCTACTTTCTGTCAATAGTACTGCTACAGAGCCACAGATAGAGATGGTCCGCAAACAGCATGGGCCTCTTGACTGTTTTCCTGTAAGGTCTTTGCAGGGAGCAAGTTATTTCTCACTTCAGATGGCAGACAACAGTTGCAAAGAACTTCTACTACATATTCTTGCGCAGTTCCAATGCCTTGTTCACATGCAATGCCTTGTTCACATGCCACCTCAGCCTGGATAATGATTTGCTTGACCCTAGCATTGAAGCTAGCATACTCTTGTGTAAACTCAGGAAGGCCCGCAATGCAATCACAATTTCCTGGCATTTATGAGCTGTTTGCTGGCATCAGAAAACGGGACCGCAAACAGTGTCAGTCATATTTTACCATGATTATCCAGAGTTACAATGGTCATCTAAGCTGCTTTCCAAGAAGTCTTGCCACCTGGACACCAGCCAAGGCGCCCATTGAACATACCAGGCCTGCCTCTGAAGGTAAAAGCTGCAGCCCAAGTCGTGCAGATGATGATCAGCAAGGGGCCAGCGACAGACCAGAATCCTGTTTGACTGTCTGCGGTTCAGTTGACTTGCGTGTGTTGATTGACAGTGGCAGTCAAGCATCCGCGCGCACACAGCAGAGACCATCGTGGCTTTTCCTCGGCTTCCCGACCATCTGGAAGCCATCACACAGGGATCAGAAGCTGTGGAGCTCATGCAACCCGGGAGTCAACTGACTGTTCTGCTCTCCCCTTCGATCGCATGATTGGACAAGGGCATGGATGCAGGTGGTGTTAGTGATGCCCTCCATCAGCACCTTGCGGATTCAAAGGTTTCTGTGTGTGTGTGCGCCGCAAAGGCTTGCAGCGAATCATGCAGCTAGAATGCTTGAGGCCATGATCTGACCTTTAGTGCAGGCACAACCTGCCAAGCGGCCCAGTGAGTTGGAACTCTCACCTAAGAATCTGGTGCCTTTGGCTGGCTTCACTTGAGTCAGCTGCGCCTTCTGAACTCTGAGGCGAGGCACCCTCAGGATTCCCAGCAAGATCTTCGTGACCGTCATGTATAAGCCGTAATGGTAGGGAAAATGGAAACCTTGCATGGGTGAGTTCGCAAGCCCGCTCAGACAGCAAAGGTGCCACAATGACCCCCCTCACGCCCACAGATTGATCCAATCTAGAAGCAGCTTAGGGCGTTGGAAAGAGCTGCACGCCCTTCACTGACGACATGCACCGCCTGAGCACTGCAATTGCATGCCTCCCGAAGGAGTCTGCATGCTGACATGTTTGTTGACAATGCTTCCAAGCACTCCGCGTTCGATGCGCGGAAATATTTGTGTGCTTTCGCGTTCTCGTGGACCTAGGTGCAGTCAGGACACTCCCCAAATGATCCATTAGAAGAGGACGCGCACGTACCAGGCAGTCCTTGTCATGACATGCCAGGCACGGAGATGACCTGACCTTGGCACCGGAGTGCAAAAATACAAGTGCCACAGTGCAGCACTCATCAGCGATGATTTTCAGGGCCCGACGTAGGCGACCCGCCATACGTAGCACTGCGGCGAACCAAAAGTGCTGCGAGCTACAAACGGGGCAGCTTCCACCTCATGTGAAGCATCAGAAGCAGCCCTCAGTACCAGAAAAAAGCATGATGTGGCTCGCTCCCATACTGCGTTTATATTTTTTTATGGGCACACCATCGCCTACCTACGAGCTTCCGCATTGCAATTGCTCATGATTAGCGTAAGCATCACGACCTTTAGCAGCATCACCCTGCGCAAGGCATGTTTTGTCGGATGGCTCCACCACAAGCAAAGCTAGACAAGGCAAGTACGTATCAAAGTGCTCTCTGCTGGCACTGGTGCAAAGTCAAACACATCTTGTGAAAGCAGTCAGCTGAAGGCGAAGGTGCAGTGAAAGACATGAGGGGTCTGAATGGTCCGGTGACAAACCGCAAACCATCTTATGCACCAATGCTGCAGCGTGCTAAATGGATCCTACACACAGATGCTGGTGAGAACGTGCTCCTGATGCTACGATTGTGTGAGATCTGTGCCAAGGGCAATCATCCAAGACACAAAGCCGGGTCTTTCCTGTCGTGACCCAGGCGAGGCTGAGAGAATGTCGCAATGCTCTCTTGCATGTCATGACCTATTTTATGTGGTGCTGGCTGTGCTGAAATTACGGGAAATGCCGAGGTACAACTTGCGGGTCACAGCGCAGCCCCTCACTGTTGAGGCACGAAGCTGACCTAGGCACAGACACTGTCTCTGTTCACTTTTGAGAATTGCCATGGCCCCTCCGTAGCACCACATGTCTTTTGATTTGATAGAAAATTTGAGGACGTGCGAGACCTGAGGACCCATCGATGTGTGCAACAAGGCCTCCCGACCAGGCCCAGGAACTCTTCAGACAAACAACACAGAAAGATACATGGGGTTTCCCAAAAGTAGGGGCACCCTTTCAGGAGCCCCCATAATATGGATTTTTAATATATTGGGGTCTATATTGGGGTCCCCCTTATTTAGGGAAACCAGCACATCAGCTGTTGGGCAACGCTGCAGCTCCATCCATTTGGCCTTCTGGTTCTTGCAAACGGCACAGCCAGGTCTGCGCCAGGCCAGTCAAAACCCGGGACAAAAGACTGGACCCCGTGCCTTCAGCAACAGGTGCCGCATCGAATCTGCCTGGGCTTGGGCCACAGAATCAAGTTGTGGCTTGGAACTGTTCAGATGCCAATTCCCAAAGCCAGGTCCTAGCGGCATATCTTCGACGGAGAGTTGCCTTTGTGCCTGGCTCCTGAGATGCGCAACTGTACATTGCACACCACTCAATCACGGGCATGGGCAGGCACGGGCACGGGTGCTAGACAGGTTGGGCTCCTGGAAGAGGTAGTGGTGTGTGGCTGACCACCCGACTCCATCAATGCCTTCGATCCAGACATCTTTTTCTATGTCTTCATTGTCAAAACACAGCAACTGGTAACTGGTAAGCATCCGACGGCTGGCCATGGTTGGAGAAACCGCAGATAGCTGCTGAAGGTCCTGGTTCAGCCGGACAGTATGACTAGGCCGCGTGAGACGCTGCAGAGTCTTGAGCGGAAGAGGCTTTTGGGAACAGTTTACTCCCAACTGCAGACATCATGTACGTAAAATGGAGCCCTTGATTTCACGACTGGCACGGGCATCGTTGGAGCTGGGTTTTCAAGTGTTCCTGATACATGGCTGACAATGTGTGCTCTGACTGAAAACCTGGGAAGTATGCCGTGGACGGATCGCATCCAGGCTTATGATCAGCAAATTTAGCATGTGGAGCCTTGGCTGGTTCTGCTTGACATGCGGAAGTTCTGGGGTCACCAAATTCGCTTGAAACAGTTCCGGAATGCCCGATGCGCCTGCAGCATTCTTGCTGACTGTCGAAGCCTTGACCTCAGGGTAATTGAATTCACATGACCTGGAGAAGCTTTGCATAAGATTCGCCTGTGCTGTCCAATCTGGGCTCTGAGGGCCTGACTCAAATGTACGGGGTGAAAGCTTTGAAGGCGAGCTGTTATGGGTCTCCTTCGTAGCTGCCTCTTCCGCACGTTCACAAAGACGCGCAATTACGCCATGGCTTCTCAATTCAAAAGTCTCAACTGGCGTCTTTTGCCACTCAGTTTGCCGCATCCGCAGCTGCAACATATTGAAATGGCCTGTAGATAATTTTTTCACAGAGTCATGATGGAACACCCTCTGCCTTGGCCTTGCTAGGACCTCCTTCAAAGGGCATGACCCTGCAGTTGGGCTGACTATGGGCGCCACGTTGACAGAAAAACACGCAAGGCTGACACAGGTAAGCTGGGTTCTTTTCATCGGAAAAATCAATCTAGAGCATCCAGCCGCGGCAAACAACTGCGCTAAGGCACCCATATCGGAAACTGGCAGAGCCCGGAAACAGTTGAAATATGAGCCATTGCCCTAAGCTCAGCAGGGGATCAGCGCCGATCGCGGCTTCGTCCCCTCAGTTGTTTCATCAACTCGCTTCCGTCGACTTGCTGAAGTGTGCTGCATCGCCTATCTTTTTCTCGCTCGCGGCGATCTCCGCGGCCTCGTTCCCTGACGTCCACGTTCCAGCAACACAAAGTCACTGCGTGAAGCGGGCACTGCGGTTGAGGTAGCAGACTAGGATCATCTACAAACCAACAGTCCTGGCCTGTCACGACCTTCTCGCCGATCACGTTCTTCGCCCCGATCACGGCGGTCATGGCGATCACCATCTTTGTCTCGAGCTTTATCTCCACGATCCCGTCCATCTCTATCATCTCGATCGTCTCGATCCCGCCGAGACTTCCCGCCAGAGCGGCCATCGTCCTTGCGGCCGCCATCAGCACGTCGTTCTCTATCCTGTCCATTCCTTTCTTTTTCCTGCGAAGGGCAGACAGCTAGCGATGCGCTGGCATCTACCCTTAGCCAAGTGAGGATGATCAGAGGTGGCACTGCGCCTTCTCCTTAGCACTTCGGCCATCGCCACGGTCATCTTCTCGCCTCAGCAGCTGCGGCTGGACTCTCCACGCACTAACGCAGGAATTGGGTTCCTTCCTGTCTCACCCTCCCATTTCTTCTCGCCTTTTCTTCTCTCGCACGTCGTCTGCCTTCTGGGCTCTATCCTCCTGACAGCCCAAGGCAAAGCGGATCCGCCACTACCTCTTTGCAATATTGTGCAACTTACGTCCGGCCGCTGGAAAACCTGCAACCTAACTTCAACATGTTGCCTTGCTGTGCCGTGACCCTTCTCATCTTAGACTATATAGCCCGAACTGCATAAATTCACTCAGAATAGTTGCCCGGGCGTTCCTCCTTTTCTCTTCGCAAAGCTTTCGCCCTATCCTGCTCAAAGGTCCATTTGCAAAGGTTGCTTTGTCCACATGCTCTACGTTTGCCAGCATTCCAAAGCTTAGGATGCCCAGCTCTACTGCACGAGACAACTCTAAGACTCTAAGCTTCCGCATGGGCTGGAATTTGCTGGAATGGTTGAAGCTGAACCATGGTCTGCCTTGCCTTGGCAATGCCTGCGAATTTGGCACGTACGTTCAGTCTTAAACTCATGGGCTCCTCGTGCTCGTTCTTCCTGTCTTCCGCGGCATCCTAGAAAGCTTTGCTGGGATGGACTGCAAGTAATGCCTGGAGCCTCAAACAGAATCAAAAAGGTTCAGGAGATGCTCTTTTGTGGGATCACATGTCGTGGCCCTGACTCCTCTGACCTCACACTCTAAAGACTATGGGCTGCCGGAAGGGCAATGCCAAAGTGACTTCTGCAGTGTCCTTCCGCGAAGCTCGTACATGTGCTAAATCATCAGCAGAAGCTGCTTTCAGTGGCTTGCCCTGGCGCAAGCGCAACATGTGCAAACCCGGACCTCTGTCTTTGCGGAGCAGAGAAGTCGCACAGGCCAGGGCCACACGGCTTGCCATCGGCTTCTGGACCTTCTCGCCGTCGCTGGCCTCTTCTTCGTCATCGTCTTGACCTGGTACCACCGAAGCTGCAGCAAAAAAATGAAAACATCTGCATGTTTCTGTGATGTGCCTGGTGCTGGAGTCAGGCGGATTGCTGAGATCGCTGGCACTGGCCGCAGGAATATATCCTGCAGACCACGCGCAAACTTGCGCCACCGTGACTGGAGTGAGCTGACCACGGTCAAACTCCGTGATAAGTTCTCTATGTGGGTGTCGACACGGCGTTGCCAGCAGCCATCTTCTATTTTCAAGCTTGGCATTGAGTGACGGGGACAGTGCCAATCCCCACTCCTTGCCTGAGAGCCTGCTGGCTTCTTGGTCTCAGCCTGCAGGGTCTGCGGGAAAGGAATGACTCAGAACATGCGCAGCGCCTGCCTGTCAAAAGGCCAAGCTCACCCACACAACAGGTGCACACATCACGAGTCTATGCTAGCTGTTTTGCATCTGGGCTGCTACGGGTAGCTGCGAGCTTTACATGCATACTCCGCAGAGGGAAACGACATCCCAGAGCCTGCTTCCACCCAGACACCGGCGCCAACTTGCTTGGAGCCTCCAGCTGGGCAGTTGAAATCAAGAAACCACTGAGAAGGCTAGGAGCAGCTTGGAGGGCCCTGTCAAGAACAGGTCGATCATGACCTACTCATGTTTCGGCCCTGCTCCCAACTGCAGGCTGGCTGCCATAATGAGAAAAACATCCCCTTTGTGCACTTTTGGCCTTCAGCTGATACTTGCCATCATCCGAATCACTGTCGCTCCAGCCGCGCAAGCCACCACCTGTCAGGCAGGTCATGGTAGAGCGAAGCTCGCAGCTTCGACTGCCTCTATTGTCTAGTGCCCGGAAATGGCTACAGTAAGAAGGGTGCCTCCTCCTCCTCCTTTCTTATCGCGACTGCGGCTGCGCACCAACTCACGATCTATAAGATCCATCTGCGGGCAGGTGAGCTGAGGTGGGCATGCTGTAACTTTGGCTCAGATAATCAAGCTTGTGATGCTTGCCGAATGTCATGTGAAAGCCTCTGTGCCTCAATCAAGGCCTCACTGGCCCAGCCTGCCAGGCAAGCTTTCGCAAAGACACCTGAACCCACATGGGATCCCTGAAATCACCTGGCCTGGCTCTTGAAGCTCGGCTCGCTTCGGCGATGCGATGAAGAGCGATCGTTGCAGCACGATGTCTTGACTCTTCAGAACATATTTTCAAACATCTCAGCATCTGCACGATATTGACCTATGCGGAAGCTGCCTACCTTCTGCAGCATGCAAATTCCCATGGGACATGTGTGAGCCAGGCTGTCAAGCAACCGAAGATTCAGCGCCGACCAGCCAACAAAGGCAAATATGTTGGCTGCATGGATCTGGCAAGCCTCGCCCAGACAGTGCATGGCAGGCCTGGGCAATTCACTCCGCATGCCAACTAGCGTCCAACAAAGCAGAGAGGGATCGGCCAGAGCTGCTCGATGGCATAGCCCACCGTATCCTGATCTGTGGCTTGTGCTACCAAAAAACCGCCTGAGAAGCAAAATGCGTTTGTCATCTGACCCTGTCAGCTGGCTGGAAGTCCTGGCAAAGCGAGATGCGCCGGCAACGTGTGGTCCGCCTTGGCGGGCCTCAAGCGTCCACGCAACTAAGGCCTAATGCCATGAGCCACACTAACACTGCCAAGTTTGAGACACCACAATGAATTACAACGAATTCAAACTTAAGAACCAAGATGCGACGGCAATCAGGACCACGTGCCACTGCGCGCGCAGCGGGGGGCAGCCAACCTGACCCCGAGATGCTGTATAAAACTTCTGCCATCTATTAAGCTCACAGCCGAGCCGCCACTTGCCACCCACAGTGCAGCTGTCGCCATGGCTCAACGAAATCTGAACCCAACACTTTGATCTCGTCTTAGGGCGTCGCTGAGTCCAGCCTTGATGATACAAGACGTTGCTTCCTTGCACGGTGGCGAGGATTGCTCGCGAATATGTCACCAGAAATCTGAAACGGCGATGGCGCGCGGAGTGCCTCCCCCTTCAGATATCAGACAGGATCACTCAGATGCCTTTACCTGAATTCTGCCTGCGGTGCTGTACTTTTGACTTCAAGAACCCACATTGCTAATGGGGTCAAAAGGAGGCAGCAAGAACTGCTCTGCTGCGCTGTCTGGCGGTCTGCTCGCAATCACAAGAATTGGCATACATAGGGTTTTTGGGGTGACGGACTGGTGTGCTGGAAAAAGGTATGCATGCACAAAGTTTGCCGTGACCGACAGATCTGATTAAAATCCGCAATGGTGCCTGCTCAATGTGAAACCAGCACAGGCATGTCACCTAGCCTAAGGTGGTGAGAAGTTACAGGTCAAGAGCTTCATTACAACTCATTCATTTACCTAGAGCAGCTAGCGCTCAAATTGACAGTCAAAGACTATGACTACACATCAAGACTGGCACGAAGCTCTCAACCGATGCCATGACTAGATTATCCTGGCTTCAGGAATCAATCTGCCACACATAGATGGGTGAAAGGCGATCATCAGGAAGTTCACTACCATCTTGTATGTCAATTGCAAACCGGAAGACATCATGCCCATCACCCGATGGAAAAATCTCAGGAGTTCTCCCCGTTCGTTTGCATCTGGCTGGCTAAGCCCGTGTCATCCTCCGCAGTGTATGTGGGACATGGCAGTTGGCAGACTAGCCTGACTTTACCCATGACTTGCTGACCAGGCGCCAGTGCTCGGAGCTTGTCCCGCCGCGAGTCGTTGACACCACTGCTGACCTGCGTGCCCAAAGCAACTTGCATGCGCGTTGCTCGCAGTCGCAGTCAAGGCAACTTTTCAGCATGAGAGGTTTTTAGGGGACGCACCCCGAGGACAGCTTCAATGTGCGAGAGGCTTCGCTTCACCTCCCGACACCTCAGCACTACTCGAGCTCTTGTATGCGAACAAGCTACTACAATATTCTGCAATATCTGCCATGCCCCGCGGTCTTCATTCAAAATCAGGAAAGCAGATGAGGATACGTTTAGCATTTGGATCTCAAATCCTGGCGGTTCCTTATGGGCCTTGAGTGGAAACACCTGGCTGAAATCAGATTCCAAGCGCCTTGGAACAGACCATGTTAAGCACGAACCTACGCGGGTAGTGCTATCATGGGATGGAGATGGAGCATGTGGCCATGCAGAGGATTATGAGGTGCTATCAGTTTTGCCAGGCATCGGGTCAACCCACTCCGAGAATTGCGGCAGAAGCACCACCGTGCTGAGCGCGAGGCTGCGTCATGATGATGTTCGCATCCTGAGGGCATCATGGAGCCACATGCTGAATTCTGGAGGTCGAAATTCACGCGAAACGTTGCTGCTGGGGCCGAGCGCATGCATGATCGAGATGACATCCAAAGATCGCGCTTGTCCTTTCAAACCTGATGACTCCGGTGATCAAAGGCAGTTACCATCGAGCACCGGGCACTCACAGCAGACTAAGGCAATGGCGCATGATGCCTTGGCAAAACTCTTTTATGGTCACCTGCCCATCCTCATTGGATCGGCCGCTCATTCCAGCAAAATGTAGCTACTACCAACAGATCAATGAAGGTCCAAGGCCCATGCCCCATCATCCAAAAGGTCAAAGAGGGGCTCCACTTCGTGGACCTTCCCGGAATCCCGAACATGCAGCAGATCTGTTCTATCACCTGGCTTGGACCAACTTATGTACTTTTCCTGTGGCTAAACTCCGCATCTTACAAGCAGCAGACTTGATGGCCTCAATCTCCAGGATGCTGAGGTAGTGCAGTACAACCTGCCATAATGATTTTGGCAAACAGTTCAGTGTCCCGCAGCCCTTTGGTACTTGCTGCAGGCATAGCTGGCTGTGGATCAAAACCCGCTTTGTCAAGGGGCCCCACCCCACCCGCCCCAACCCCTGTTACATGCCCATTTTTCGCGGCATGCTGTGACATACTTTTGTCGAGAAAATTCATGAAGGCTTTGTCAACGTATGCCCCATGAAAGAAAGCTTTGTCGCACAGAGGTTTATCGCAAGCCGAGCACTTCCATTACAAGCCTATGTCCCTGAATGCCCGCCCGAGCCTGTTACAGACCCAATGTTGTTGATTTGCCGCCAGCTACAGGGCAAGGGCACAAGGTGGCAGCTGCTTCAGAAGACAATGGAAATGGAGTGAGGACCATACGTAGGCACACGTCTGAGTTGCAGTACTTACGGAACAAATCCTAATTATATCATATCTTCTGCGAGCAAGAAGCTGGATTGCTCACAGCTCTGTCCATCTCCGCACGGGTGATGACCTTGGCTCAAAACTTGCAAAATGCTGCCGGGAGTCAGTCATTGCTGCCTTCAAAGCAATCTCGAGGGCGCTGCCCCGTTTCCGTCATCATCCGCTTCTAAGAAGATGTCCTGCTTCATGATATTTCGTGATGCTGCATGAAATGAAGGACACTAAATTCGCCTTGGCTTTGCCTTGTGAGCAGTCCTCCAGCCTGCTCACGTACTGCTCCTTCGACCGAACTTTCTCCTGCAAGTGTTTCTCATCGTGGCCCCGAACTTTCCAAACCGTTTGCCACAGGGAAGATGTTCTGTCCTGCACTGCGAGGGCTGCGTCTCCAGCAGCAGTTGCTAGCGTTTCCTGGCATGCTATGTCTGCAACACGAGACATGGGGTGACTAGCCACAAGACCTTGAGGAAAATGGCGGTAATTATTCTGATAATCGCGAAGATGACCTTCAAAGCAGCCACCGTCGTACAATAAGCAGCACGGCTCAACTGCGCTATCACTCAACGCGGCTGATCGCTGTTGTCTATGATCATACTGTAGGTGCGTGGCAAGTGTCACGTATGACCTCATGCAGCTAATCAGCGTTACAACTCCTTAGCTCAATGGTATTCACATGGGCTAGGGTCGAGACATGAAGAAGAAGGCATACCACATACTCACCTGCTGTCGAAATTCAGCACTGGCATTTTGAGCATGCCGCAAACATGCACCTAGGAAGCATTCAGTGGACATTTTTTCTCAACAGGAGAAGCAATAGCCGCACTGGCATCGCCAGCCTTCTCAACTACGGGTCGTGCATAATTTGGCCAGCCGCCACTGTGCGTCAGTTCAAACCTCAGTGCGCATGTTTCCTCGCGCGTCCTTGCTCTCAGCTCTAAGCGTTTTTGGCCACTTGCCATGATCAGGACTTCATGAAGTCAGACCCCCAGTTAGGCGGTAAGTTGGGAGAAGATCAGCGTGCTCAAGCCCTGCGATGGAAGGAGGATCAATGATCGGTTCTGGAAGTAACCAAGGCCCGGGCATTGAATAAACAGCTTTCCACGCACTTCCGTAGTAACTTAGGTCAGACAGTCTGGCAGACCACAGCTTCAAATGCTTGTGCATCTCGCTGAAATCTGTGGCAGGCACTCGAACATCCAAACTCGGTCTATCATGTCCTGACGTGCTAGTCAGCTCAAACAGGCCGCTGACTGCTTGTGTTGCGCTGCACAGAAACAACTTCAACTGTGGAATGTCACGAATGACTCCATGGGACCCTTCCCACACAACTAGTTTGCATGGCCTCTGTCTCATCCAATATAAAACCTTGGCTGCCGGCGCATCTGCGGCTTACAGCACAAGGCAGCAAGCCCGCGGCTGTGCAGCGACTGCGCCAAAAGAAGGGCGCCTGCGTCACGAGTGGACTACCTCACCCTGAGCTACAGAGCTCATTCTTCGGCAGAGCTTTCGGAGACCCGCCTATGAACTTCAGAACCATCAAAAGAATCATTGACCAGAACAACGCGCCGATGCTTGCCAAGAATGTAGATGCCCTGGGTCTCATCAGCACATGTGAAGGTGTCAGCTGTCGGGGGATAGTGAGACCACTAGATCACTTGGGAACATGCGGAAAAACTTCACTGGCATAGACTGTCAATAAACCGGGGCTGGGACAGGACTCGCAACCTCATCGAATGGCCGTGTTCGCTGCTATGAAAACTGATTGCTCCATCACATGGCACTCATTCACTCTGCTTTTGAGAGCCATGCGGTCTGAAAAGAATCATGACCTCAGCACAGCACTTGCTGATTTAATTAACTTCTTCGGCTACATGAAACGCGCTTCGAGCTTGCTCAATTTTGCTGTGGCCCCTGCTCTCATAACACGCAGGGTGCGCGTCAGCCGGAGCAGCCGTATGGCTCTGGCGACGGAGAGGTTCATCTGGGTACCCGTTTGAGGAAGCTGTCAAGTTGCTTCACATACACGCCTCTACCGACTTGTGTGAGGAGTGCTGGGAGCACGGCGTCACTCTGAGATAGGAGAAAGGTGGAGACCGCGCTGATGGTTGTGATGACAGCATCCTGAGATACAGTAAGTCGTGCCGGTATGCAGATTCTCGCGCCAATCCATCCACAAGATCTTAGCAAAACCAGATCCCGATCCTCTTTTGAGGAAAGCGGGTGAAGCGGCCGTTTGTTTGTGCTTTTGCAACTGCCGGCTTCACACTTCATGTGGTCAGCTGATGCGTGGACTGAGGTTGGGACCATCAAGTTTGCATACTGTATCCCACCCTCTGCCTTGTGCTGTTCATGCTGACTAAAATGGGCATTTGACACGAACTCCGACACGCGTGTTGGTTAGCTGAGGCTGCCACAGTCCACGCCCAGGAGGAGCCTGAGGCAGCAACGCAAGTACAGCGTGAAGCCAGGCTGGTCTTTGCTGGGTGTGAGTTCGTAAAATCGTAGAAGGGTCAAATGGCAGAGCTGCATCTAGGAGAAGTGTAGCTATGACCAGTGATGACCAGTGTACGAAAAAGTTTTCTTGTGAAAGCCGTTGCGCTTGTGGCACTGCCCCAACCATGACAGGAGGCGAACTCCACTACGGATTATCGCTAGGAAAATCAGTGCAGCATTTGTAGGTGCTTTCAATTTGTCGCCGGTCCTCCCCTGCATGTGCTGCTTCGCGACTTGGATTTGCCTTTTTGCGATGTGATCTTGCCCTGGCATTTGTACCACGGCTGTCAGGCATCCAGATCGAGCTATGATGACATAAGCGTAGTACAGCAGATGTGTGCGTTTAACACCCTAGACCACCTCCACAGTGGACAGGTCTTTGTGGGGGACTATGGAGCATACTCTGGAAACTGCTCCATATCCGCGTCCCCCATGTCAACTCACTACTTGTCAGCATCTGGTGAGGTAGCGGGCTAGGCCACGGGGCTTCGTATGAGAGATCTGCGCAAGATAAACGCTCTACCAGTACTACACTAATTTGCGCTCAAAGCACTGAACGCAGATATCACAATGAATTTCTACTCTCAGAACTTGTTGAACGCAGCTGTTCCTATTCAGAGTTAAGCGGCACCGGTTCTGCGCTGTAGGTGCCCGGCGAAGAACCAGGATGCGCACCAATAGCTCAATCATGTATATTACAATGTACCTCAGGCAGGAACCCCTGATTGTCGCCCTTTCTTTTGAGCTCCAAGAAGGCGTCTGTAGGAGCTGAGTTCGGCACACTGTCTCAATGGACTCAAAAGTTTGCCCTTCAAGTGGCGCGCATGGCGCACATGTTGCAGATATCTGCATGAAGCATGGCTGAGACAAACCGCCTGCGTTGGGGCCCCACGACGAAGCCTCATTTGTGGTGATGCCAAGAGCATCCTTAGAGCATGGCTGGCCGTGCTGGGGCATGCCGCATCTGCTACGTTTGCCAGCACATCGGCTGAGTTGTTTGCTGAAGCCACTGAGCCAAGCCATTGGGATTGAACCTGGGATTGTTGCATGCCGACTTGTAGGTTGCCTCACCCAGCAGTGGCCTAAGGATATCCTGCTGCAATGGGGGAAAGCAGTAAGAGCGCTGCAAACATAACAGCTGCATTCGATATGACGATCGTACCCATGATCATATCGAGCGGGCCGTTCTCGATGAAGGAAAAGAACGTCATCTGAGAAAGCACACGCTTCCCCATAGTGTGTCGGGTATGCGATTTCGGCAGCTGTGGCCACCACTGTTTTCGCCTTTTCAGTCATGCCTGCAAATTCCGTGTGCGAGCCAGAAGCATAGAACCGTATCAGAACAGAATACCTTGCTGCTCCAAGGCTGGCACCATCTAGCAAGTTGACCTGACGCGAACTGAAACAGCATGCGCAAGCACACGGAAAAACGTGAGGCTCGCTGGAGTGGGTCAAAAGCCAATCCGCAAAAGTGCCTAGAAACGTGCCTTTCCTGAAGGCCGGCCGACTACAATGAAGACTGAACCATGTTGAAACTCACGTGCTCTGGCCACAAAGCACGTCCACGCTCGCCTTCTTCAAGGCGCCGTGGATTTTTTTCAGCTGGCTGCTCCGCAAGTGTGGCACGTCCTTGGATATTGCCAGTCGTGCTATCTCGTCATTGGCTGTCAGTGGCTCGGCTAGCACAGACACACATGCACACACCGACGCATGCTCCTCACACAATCTGCCAATTAGCCCAAGGTAGTGCCACAGTGAGCATTCAAGCAACAAGCAGGACAAGAAGCAGGTTCGCCAAGCCCTCGTCCCCTCACCGTTTCACCATCGGCTAGGGCCGGCAGCTGGCAGCTTACAGATTGATCACCGATCGATCATCCCACTCCCACCACTATGCACTCCCGCCCGCATTCAGGCCCTATGGCCACCGGCTCATTTCTATGCAGAAAGCATATATGAAAAAAGTTTCACGGAAGCTGCGGCAAGCATCATCTGCCCAGCCCTGGGCACCTTCTGCAGAAAACTGAAAGCCATCGCGGAGATCGCTAAGTTGGGCTTGCAACCAAGCCTAGCTCGAAATGTTGCATTTCCACCATGTTGGATCATTTTAAAACTCAATGGGAATGCAACAATTAATGAACTCAGTCGTACCTAGTTCTTGAGCCTCTTTAAAGGCTAGTTTCTGTTTTCAGCATTTGGAGGCCAGAAGTGATTTATACAATCCCCCAAGCGACTTATGAAATCCCAGAAGCGAATATGTAACTATTTGTGACACCCGGAAGCTATTTAATAAATAGTCCGGAACCGCTTCGAGCCGTTTATATATAACCTGAAAACACAAATAGCTCCAAATAGTTTCAAGTAGCTTCGCATATCAGCTGGCCCAGGGGGTGGTTATCAATAGTCCGGAACCGCTTCAAGCCGCTTCCCGCTAGATGTTTTTTTTATGGCTCCCAAGGTCTTATAGACAGCTTCTAAATAGCTTCTAAGATTTTATATATAGCTTCCAAGATGTGTATACAGCTGCCAAGGTTTTACATATAGCTTCTACCCCTCAAATCCCTGAAACAAGCAAAGAGGCTAAAGAGCTCGGCCTATTAAATCTATTAAGCAATTGCATTAATCAAATATTTCATGAATTGAGATTCTGCTCAAAATTGATCAGTGGAATAATAAATTGATAACTCCAGAAACCCCCCCGGGCTTAATTTTTTGGTGGCCCCTTTTAAAGTAGTTTTGCCCTTTCGGGACCCGAAATCATTTTTATATTCGGGGGGATTTAACATAAAGGGGAAGGGATTGCTCAGCCCAGAGATCTAGGAAATTCCAGACAACTGGCGTTCTTGACTTGGACTAGTGACTAGTGACCATGACCAGGGTAGTCTGCCGCTGGCACATGACTCCCGTCCACCTGTGTTGCAAATTCCTTCACGGGCGCAACTTTGTCACTTAGTCGAAGCGAGAGCATGAATTGAGTTGTTATCAGACTACTAGACTCTCCCCAATCGGAAACTGCAGCCCATGACCTAGAAGTTCTCTTATTGAAACGGCAAGCTTCTTGCAGGAAATCGGAGACCTCTGTAAGCTCAAGCGGGCACAGCATAACGGAAACACACGCAAATCAGCATCTCCAAGGCCTGCCTCAAGCGAGGTGTCGTATCTAATCATATTTCATGCTTTTCATGATGTGCCATCATTGTTCATGATTCCCCATCGTTTTCTACAGGTTTCATGATTCTCCATTGCTTTCTGCTATTTGACTATTACATGATTTCCATCAATTTCATCTTACTTCATAACCTTTCATCAAGTTTTACAATTTCCTCATGCTTCACCATTTTCCTGACATTACATGATTTGCATGGTGCATCATATTGCAACACTTTTAAACGCTCGTCATCCACCACCCCATCCGCCCTCATGACCTCTCCTCGCCCCCAGCACCAAAAAGATAGTGCACATAACCAAAGAAGGTCAAAAAGAAACATCCGCCTGGTTTGACTCTGTGCAACAGGCCTGTCTGTTTAAATGGCGCTGAGCCGACACCGAAAGCCTTTGAAGCAATTCAAAACGTTGCTGTCATTCCTGATGCTTTTGCTGATGCGTGGCGTGATACTGATGCACCCTGGAATTAGCTCATGCGGACAATGTAGCAAGGTATCGCTCACATGGTTTGCGGCCCCTGAACGGCTCCCTGTACCACAAACTGTTTCTTTCCGTGGTTTTTGCATTCTGGTGTTGCACCATCACTACATGGCCTGGCAACCTTAAAAAAACACCAGTTCTTGATGTAAACCGTCAAGCTTTTGTGATCCAAGTAGCATGCACCGGCTTGACAATGTCATCCACAACGGGGACTCCATCAGCATCGTTGTTTTCGGAGGATTTCTCTTTCCTCCCAACTTTCATCTTGTAAGCCTGGGCTTGGGGGTGCAAGGGAATCACATGTGTGCTAGAAGCCTCCCTTGTCACTCTCATTCAGCTGCGACACTTGCTTTTTGGCCTTCCTTGGCAATCAAAGACACGAAAACAGTTGCAGAAAAATTGTGCAAGCTCCTATGAGACTGTTGCAAAGGAGGGTATGGTGAGTATAAGCAGTGTAAGCAGTTCTATCGCCTCTGGCTGAGGGCAATCTACACTCGACACGCAATCAGGAAGGCCGTCATGTGCAGAAAGGAGAGCTACGGCTTCGCTACCAAACTACTATGCAAAGAAAGCATTAACAAGAAAGCCAAGCCGCTTCAACTGCTGCAAATGGGCCTTCTCCAGCTGCTCCTAGCAAGGCTGACACGGCAGGGATTCTACGGAGAGCATTGGCATGGTCACAACCGATAGCCACTACCGCACGTGTCTAGGGTACGGCAAACCAAGCTTATTCAAGGAGCCTCTTCCAGGTCTCGCGCACCGGTGTTGCCCTGCAAATGGAGCTTGCACTGAAGCTGATGGCTCTGGTCAGGACCTGCTAAACCCTATGCCCGAGTGCGCTGCGTTCCCCTCTACGGACGGCTGCACGGACGGTCGCCTTTGTTCCCGAGTCCCCATTCCCCACGTAGTGAAGCGCGATGGTGGTCATCAGTCTTGACACCCGGCCTATCCGAACCTTCGCTGCCCGGAGAGCGAACGGCCACTGGGGCCTTGCAGCCAATCAAAATTGGAAAGTGTGTATCAGTTTTTGCGTCGAATCTTTTTGGACGTTTAGGAGGTGCGATAGGGGTCACGCCAAACACGTGGTGTTCTCTTGCTGCTGTTTCCATCATGTGGGGTCATCGGCTGTTGACCGGTGCAAACGTACCGCTTTCCTATTTTCATATTCATCTCATTTCGTGCTGCACCCTTCCTGCAGCGGGGCAGGACCCTAACCCCAATGCGCGTCATCTCATTGCGTCTGACAGGTGGGCCATTCCCGGTGCGTGGCACGCCTTTGGAATCAGAATTGTCACTCACATTCATTGCCATCATCATCACAATCATCATCATCATCATCATCATCATCATCATCCATGTTTGTTTCATGCTAATCGTTTCGCGGAAATCAGATACAGGTCGGAGAAATGTGAAAGTGCGCGGTGTCATTTAAGCTGAGGCCAGTTCCAAGCGGACCTGTAAAGGAGAACTAGCTGAGGTTCCTGCCGCGGCTGTGCAGCAAATATTGTGACGGTCTGCTCTCTCCGGGTTTCTGGGCCTTGCCCAGCATCGCCCGCCAAAGCGTCTGCTGAAAGTGCAGGAGAAGCAGGAGTGGCAGGGACAGCGGCAGGCCTCTAGTGCAAAGGTTTACAGGACTGGTACTCTAGCTGAACTGTGCAGCAGCCTGCTCTGTCGAATCAGCTCGGCAATGGCCTGGCGCTCTAGATCCAACAATGAAACTTACATGCTTTCCTAAAGATGCACGCGGCCTCGTGGTGTCGATCCAGACTGGTCTGAATAGCCTAGCATTGATGTGTCACACAGGCAGTCTGTTGCTTGGCAAGAAAGTCGGACAACGGCCTTCAGATTCTCCTCCAGCTGGTGCTGCACCCACCTGCGACAAGATTGCAGCTTGATCTTGCTTGCACGGGTCCTTGGTGTCATACTCTGACAAGCTACTTGCCTGCGGTCTGCGACTGCCTTAGCTTTGGTTGCGACTGGCAAGGAAGGCATCGTGGCCGGTCACAACTTGGTATTCTGTCCCCTGGCGGAGCATGCCGTTCAGCCAGTGCAATGGTTGTTGGCAGAAACACTCGTCTCCCAAATGTTATTCACAGCTTTCATTGCATGCCATCTTTAGAGTTCAATGAATTTTCTCGAGTCTGGCATGATAGCACCATGTTGATGCCAAATTGTTGTTTTGGGTACGCTCTCTGATGAATCGCAGGTGCGCCCCCAGTGCTGTGCGTGGCGGCCCAGCTGAAGTCTGGTGTGGCATTCGCAAGATGCCACACGCGGCAAAGGACTTGACACTGTAAGCCCGTTTGCGCAGCTGTGCCCATGCTGTGTCTTCTGGGGTGAGTGGCAAGAGGTGAAACAGAGTCTTCTCAGTGTTGTACAGCATCGCTGGTAACGATGCGGCTACAAACAAAAGGACAGATTCCAATCTTCAGGAGCTCTCACCAAGCACCCACATGAAGTCACTCACGGCTAAAACCAACAGTAACACAAGAGGGTCATTTCCGTGACCATGGAGGCTTCTGTCTACGGGGCATTCGGGGAGTTTAGCCGGACAACTGACAGTCTCAAAAAGCAGAACACAAATGTGTGTCGTTCGAAATAATGTTCACACAAATTTCTCCCGTGTGGGCGACACGAGTGAAGGCGCTTCCTGTCTTCTGGGTTCCCCTCGCATTATGTTGGCTCCATAACCAAAAGCTTTTTCCTTTCATGCGGCAATGACAGCTGGTGGGTTGGTTCTGCTGGGCTGCTATGACGATTTGAGGGGGAACGTTTACAGCAACTAACCTGTTCTGCACCGGGGCTGTAGGCCGTCGCTCAAGGGCGGTATCAATGAAGGCCATGCTGAGATGAATGAAGTGCTCTACAGGCGGTATTGAGCAGACAACGCACTTCTCATGCTGCTACCTGTCCGCGTTTGTTGCATGAGGGGATGGCCGGGCCAGACATCAACGGTAGGGCAGATCTCATTCGTACCGCCAGGCGGCAATCTATCCACAACACAACGTCAAGACTGCTGCTGGTGCGAGTGGAGCAAATCTCGGGTGCGATTGTGCCTCTTTCCTGTTTTGCTTGCGGGCCAAGAATACATTAACTTTTCTGGGTCGAGGATCTATGTTGAAAAAATTCTTCATCAGACCAGTGACAGCAACGACAAGTCAAAGGTCGTGGGAGCATTCACTACCTTAGGAATGGGTCTCTGTCATCGTGGTTTCGTTCGGGCGTTGAGACAAGCATTGTTGGCTTGTCCTCGGGACAAGATATTCTCATACAGACTGCGGTCATAGAAGCATCAGCTCCACATGAATCTTATCTGCACAAATTTCACTTGACCAGATCCACCTGCAACTGTGCTGACTGCAAAGCAACTTGCACAATTCTAGGTTGTTGCCTTTCAAAGTGATTTGTTGTTTTGGCCCACATGTGGTGGAAAGAATGGCCATGGGTTGGTGTTTTGGGTTAGACCTTGAGGGGAACTGCAGGTTCCAATGCTACCTGGGGCTTGTGATGTCACACGAACTTAGCTGGGCTTGACGCTGGTCGTCATATGAAGGCCGTGCTTGAGTTCAAGACAGCTGGAGCATGTGTGCTAGGCTTGATTAATTTCAAGCTTGCAAAGTGCAAGCTACCTAGCCAGCATGACCTTCCTGAGTTGCCTCCGTGAAGCTTTTGCGCCGCCTACAGCGCTGACCTCTTGGAGTTCCGCATTTTTCCATGGACTGTATGATTGGTATCTAACCTGAAGACTTGAGAATCCTTTGATTCACCTCTCCAAGAACGGGCGCCCTTTCTTTCTTTCTCTCTCCCTGTCTCTTTGCTTCTTCTTCAGGCTACACGCCCCTCACAGGGGTGTCGAGGCGAGGTTGAAGCCGGTAGCCCCATGGTTCGCTGTCCAAGTCGGGTACCCTCCCTCTTTCTCTGCAGCTGAGCGCGACACTGTATCCGCACGTACCGGTGCCCCACACCTTTGCCTCAGCAGATACAGGAAAATACCTTCTGCATGGCTGGTGCACCAAGGATTGGCACCAAATGCTCACCGGTAAGATCTTACGGGGCCGCGCGGGTGCAGAGCCCTGTGAAACTGCTGTAAGAATCTAAGGCGCGCACAACCAGGTCGCATCCTGCCGCGTTTGGTGCTCTACTAGTCACAATGACGTTGCTCTCCCGTGCGGGAGACCGAGGTTGAAGGGGGGAGATTCGAGCCCCATCTGCTTGATGAGTGGCCCAAAGTCTTCTTGAGATTGCAATTTCTGGGAATGATTGGATGTCCTGGGGCTGCGCCATTCCTCATAGCACCATGGCTTCTTTCAGAAACTTCGTGAGTGTGCACGAAAGGAAAAATCAATACCGCTGCTCGCACCTCACGGGCACTGCCGAGAACCCGAGTCTTTGTGCTGTCACATGTAATTAATGTATCCTCCAAACAGAGCAGCCGGATCAGAGCTACTCAAATGAATGAAGCAGTTGCAACAGCAAAGGTTCAGTACCAGTACCGCTGGTGTCATGACCATGTCTTGCTTCCAGTGTTGAGTCGAATTGCGGCATGCGGCAGGCTGGCACTTGACAGAATCAGCCGCCAGCAGGCGTCCGACTAAACTGGCTCCTTTACACTGCAGAAAACAAGGGCGCACTGCATGAGACATACGCAAGTGATGCGAGCGCATTCTTTACTACGCGCAGGCTCTGCCTCAAAATGGACTTCATCCTCTGCAATGTCATTGGTTTGCGTGATCTGTTCAGCCGCATGGCTCCGTTGGGCATGCTCAGCTGATGGACTGTTCATCCACAAGCGCATTGCAGGTCCTCTGAAAACTTTGCATCCTACATGACGTGACGCTCCAGCAGGAATGCCTGCTGCATGCCTGCACAGACATCAGTCCTTGTGCTGTTGTTTAGCCGAAAGCCAGAAGCACAGGATGCGCACCACAGCATGCCCGTAAGTGGGCATTCCTCACCTTCTGCTCCTGTGCCTCAACTGACAGAGGCAAAATGCTCTTTCACACAGACAAGCCTGGCTTTGTCTTCTGCCTACACTGGAACCACGGACCTAGTAATCTGCACTGGCAAGGCTCCGTTTCTGCAGTTGCACTGCTTTATCAAACACTTCGTCTCGGAAAGGTGGAAGCCATCCTTGCGTTTCTGAAGGGTTCCGAAAAACCTGCAAACTATTTCGAACTTTCATTCAGAAGAATGCCATTTGCTAGCTTAGTCTCGTAACACCGCGAGCACGCAGCACTCCCATGCGAGGGGCAATGGTGGCCAAGCGTTCCCTCACCTTGGCTGCATTCAGCCAGGTCAGCTTGATAGCAAACGGGGAACGCCGCTCCTGTTTAGGCCAGATTCCATTCTCGCACACGCACTCGTTAGCTTCGCAGCTTCCGTTGTGCAAGTGATAGCCCGTCCTGAACCAGAATTGGTCAAGCAGAACCTGCACATTTCTGAGTTGGGCGGACTCGGGCTGGCACCAGCACGATGCGCAGTGCCTGGTAGCAAATCTGACAACAAGCAGTTGAGATAAGGACCATTGAAGTGCAGAGAAGGAGCACAGTGCCATTGACACAATGCGAGGCGTGACCATTCTTGCATTTGCAAGGCAGTTTGTGGCACACACTGGCATTCAAGTGGAAGCCTGGGCGATGCAAGTTTGGACTGCTGTGCATCTTTATGCGTTACCTGGTTGTGCAAGTGTACAAGCCGCCATTCTCTTCCCTCTAATTTTTCCATACCGTGGCGGGGGGAAGTCCATAAAAGTGGGATAGATTGACAGCACTTGCGGTTTCCCCACTGACTGGGGTTTCCAGGCATCAGATACAAATTACCCAAAGCATCGATGCCGAAAAGCGCATGCTGTCAGGACTGGCAGACTGCCACTGGCTTAACAACGCACACCAACGCTGTGCCACAGGGCGATGCTTGCAGTCGTCGCCAAGCAGCCAGGAAGACAGCTGGCACAATGCTCAGCTCCTTTTTCAGGACAATCTATCCCTCGCGAAGCAGTCCCATTGTTGCAGAGACCTCATCAGGAACTCCACCAACACACGTTTCACAAGCTGGCAATGATTCCTGCGGCCACGGAACAAGTTTTCTCTACGCATTCCGTACCGTGCAAATGGAATCCGTCGAAACATCTGGAGCAGTTGGCCGCTCCAGCAGCCGAGCAGTTCAAGCCCGTCGTGCCCACACCTGCGCAGTGGTTTTTGCAATTGTAGAAGGCCAATAGATCTCATCATGTTTAGCGTCCACAAGCGTTTCCAGAGCCCACAGATTCTGCAGTGTAGGCACCGTTCGCGCAGGAGCACCCACTCAGCACACCTGAGTGATTTGGATCTAGCATGCATGTTAGAAACGGATGGGCAAAAAAGGCACTTGATGGCCACGGCACAGGAATCCTGCTCCAGCACAAAGCCATGGCTGCAGTTTTTGCATCGGTGCTCGCCATGATGAGGGCAAGCTTAGGCAGAACCAAGATCATGAAACGCACGTTGAAATTGAAGGCCCACGGATGCATGGCTTTTGCATGTCAAGGAACCATCCCCAGTTGTCCCTGCACCGTTGGAGCAGCTGCATTGATTCTTTTCGCAGATTCCACCGTGCAAGTGGAAGCCTTCAGTGCAGTTGATACAAAACGTACCTTGGCTGTTGTGTCATGCGGGCCCAGCAGCTTGAGAGACATGCATGCGACGGTCCTAAGGCAAGACAATCAACAAATTTGAGACCGGGGTCCGTTCAGTTCGGGACACTCTGATCCCCGCGCCCCAGTCCCATGCGGACAGGTGCACACTTTCTCAATGCATCGGTCATGCACGGGATGGTAGCCTTCGAAGCCTCAGGAAATAGACGATCTTTGCTGCCGGCCTGATTCAGCCTCGCCATTCATACTAGCTGCAGACCGAGCAATTCTCATGGTCCGGGTGAGGACCTCAGATGTGAGGCAGTGGTCAGGAACAAGGCTCACGTCCTGAAAGACAATGGCTGGTCAGGCACTAAAGCCGCAGACAAGCGGCAGCTGTTGCCAGTTCTCGGCAACCCATTTGAACAAGAGCAGTGTCGCTCCTCAGATCCAGCAACACAAGCATGTACCGCAGTGCCACCCGCTTGCTCTTCTGCAAGCAAAACATGACAACCGCATGTCGGCGATTGAAAGCTCCAAGGTTTTGTGGACTGAGCGTACTGTACCTACAATTTGAAGACAAGAGGCCTGACAAGAGCCGTTCACCGCATCAAACCCAGAGCTGCATGACACGCAATACCTTAGCATGCTGGGCAGGCAGCTCGTGTGTAGGCGTCATAGTGAGAAAACCAATCGGGCAAAGCTTCTCCTCTCCATCTGAAATGCATCCTGAAGTGAAGACATGTATGAGCACCCTCACGGGCTATCTGGGCTAGGCAAATCTCCAGCCGCCTGTGCCGTTTGCACCGACGCCGTTGGCACACGAGCACTGATTCGCGAGGCAGATGTCACCGACCAGGTGATAACCTTTGTCGTGCTGCGCTTGTCATCATGTTTTTTGTTTCTTTCTTTCTTTCTTCTGTGTCTCTCCTTGCAAACTGTGATTTCATCGCAGCAGTTATGCCAGGCTACCTTCGATACAGGAGGTGCACAGGAGCTTGCCGTTATGGGTGCAGTTGCTGCCTAGAGCAGCTTTGCCATGCTCACCTCAGATGGGCGGCAACTCTTGCGCGGATGTCTCCCGCAGTCTCAGTACCACACGCTCATCCTGGGGCTGAAGCATATACAGTGCTTCAGCTTGCACGAGCCACTCACGAGGTGATAACCATCGTAGCAATCAGTGCAGAGAACGCTTCCATTTTTCAGGCAGTCTCTTCCTCAACGGGCATACAGGATGCGGGCACCGGTACCCTCACTGCTCTGCCTAATGGCTTCCCACAGAAGATGCAAAGTCATTGGTAGAAGCCTCTCAGGGCTGATACGTGTTTTGTTGCCGCGCAAGCATCCGGTGGCAACGCTACCATTGGCACAGCTGCATAGGTTGTCTGCACAAAATCCGTCGACAACGTGAAGTCCAGGTCCACATGACACCGGCTGGCACTCTGCATCAACGAGGTTGTATCCTCATGAGCCGAAGCCACTGGCAGAAATTGGGTTCTAACGCTTTGCCATATAGAGATCTGGCCTTCGAAGCAGGTCTCACATCGTTTAAGACCGCTTTCAGGGCAAAGGAGGCCGATTGCTCCTAAGCATGTTATATCTCAAATGCAACCCGAGCTTGACAAGCAAATTGTGGGATACTTTAAGATTTAGCCCCTTTTTCAACACGCCTGCACCGCTACGCATGCCGCGCCACAATTTGCTCAGAGTGCCATAGCTGTGGAAACAGGATTGCCGCCAGGACGCCCAAGCCATGTTTGCATGTGCACTGGTTCTCAATGCAATTGCCTTGGCTGCATTGTCACCTCACCACCCCCCGAGCCTCCGAGAAACATGCACCATACGTCTTGCCTGTCAAACATCTCAAGGGAAAGCTTACAACTTACAACATGAACTATTGCAGTCGCGCTTCCCTGTGCAATGTGGTAGCCTTGTGGACCTAAGGCTCAGCTTGCAGATGGCCATGTTGGTGGCAGCGGCCCTGGTACATCACATGACAATATTGCACCCATGGCGCATGACGCCATGCCCACGCTGCTCTTGGTGTCAGAGATGTTGGGCTCATCTACGGGGATCCTGGACATGAAAGAATCCAAAATGGGCCCTCCAATCTGCGCGGGACTGGTGCCTTTGCTTGCTGGTGGCCGAGCTGGAAAGCTCCTGGAACGCAAAGCTTCAGGCATACTCTGTGCCCTCCGCTCCAGAGACGCAGCAATCGGTCATTCTTCGATTGCTGTGCCATCTAGACATCGAAGTGCGTCTGAAGCTCTAAGTCTGACTTGACTTGCAGCATGCCGGCACTGCGAACTGGGGCCGCTGGACCGCCTGCAGCGGATCACACAGCAACCAGCATACCAAACCTGCCACTGTAGCGCAACGAACCTGCATGTGCCCATGCTGTAGGGACTCTGGAGATAATGCTCGCGAGGTAAAGCGCGTAGCAAACAGCTCTTGCCCTTGGTGAATGGGCATCTCTGGTCTGAAGCATTATCTTCTCATCTCATTGCAGCAAGTCCCTTAGTTTGCGGCTGGCAAAGTTCTGGTTTGCCTGGGCTACATGGAACAAGCGACAAGCTGCCTCTGGCTGACGCTGTGAGGCCCTAGCTTGTGGAACGCCACGGTAACATGGAGATACATATGATAAGGTGCAGCTTGTGAGTAAACCCGCTTCACGGGTTTGGGCAAGTAGGATCAATGCACTCAAGCAAGGCATCCTACCACAAATGATCTGACAAAGTATGGGCGTAACATGGTGCAACTCTTTGCGTGGGATGTAGCCGTGTAGCCAGTCAACCTGCTTTGCAGGCCCGGTGAAACACTTTTGGCCAGCTTCGGCTCCGGCCTTGTGGGCCTTTGGCAAATTGCTGACACCAGGCACTAGGCTAATACTTTGCCACACATTTGCGGCATGTGGTGCACATGCAGTGCCAATTCTGCCGAACTCGACCCAGGTTGCATTTTTTTCTACACGAATTGCTGTGAACCTGTAGCGCAACAAGTCAGTTGATGCCCCAAAGCGAGCTACTTTGCAGCATCTTCATTGTGCGGAAATCCTTTGGGCGCAGAAACTTCCAGTGCAGAGCCCATGTCCTCAACAAATGGAAATCTGGGGTCACTGCCATGCGGCTGCGAGCACTGGGTCTACCAAACGAGTAGACACTCTGTGTCTTCATGTCTGGATTCGGCCTTGGTGCTGGAAGGGTCTGTGAGCATCTCTCCAGCTGCGGGCATCTGAGGCGTGAGTTGGCCCCTGGCTTGTCATGGACCTCGTAGGCACCTGGGCCTGGAGCACGGTCGCCTCGTTCGCCTGGTAGGCCTCATGCGAAACGCGCGGGTTCTCTACTGGAGCTTTTGGTAAAATGACACTGTCCAAACGCGTTCAACCTGACCTCTCCAAAGTGTTACTTACAGTGTCTGGTTGCCTTCTGCAGGCCATCACAAAGGTCTAGCAAAATCACGCTGTCAAAGCAAGGGCAGGGTTGTCGGGCGTCCTTGATCTGCTTGACTCTTTTAGACTTGTCTTGAGGCGGATGCTCAAGTTGTAGGCATCTCTGCCCGGGAAGGACTTGGCTAATTACACTGTAAAAGGTGTTCTCGGCTGCAAAATCTGAGGAAGCAGTCAGCATGCGATTGCTGACGGACCCGAAAATTATCAGGTAACCTGCCGCGCTGAGCTTGAGGCGCTGAGCCCTTGAAAATGAGACAGTTTTGCCAGACCTGCAAGAAGGGAACAAAAAATGCTCTGACTGAAGGGCTTGCTTGAGGCACCTTGATGGTAGTGGGGGGCCGGGCCCAGGAGACGAGCGTCCCTGGCCCTCTTTTTCAGATCCTGGGAACCTGAATGCATGGCAACGTGCTCCAGATCTAAACATGCTTCAAAAGCCACGCGTGAGGCGTCCGCCTCACTTTGTCGTAGGCCCGATGTGATGCACCAAAGGACCTGGCTTGCCTTGTTGGATCGATGCAGCCTTTCACCTGAACTCGTTCACTCATCACATCGAGGCTTGACCGCTTCAATGACCTCGCCTCATACTGCCCTGGTCCAGTGGAACCAAGAGAATCGGCCAGACTTCGGTCATCCAAGGCAAAACGATTTGCCTGGCAGCATGCCCGCCAACTAAACTAACATAAACAAGGATTCTTTGACAGAAAGAGGCCAGACCTTGGTAAATCTGGTATGGTGTGGAGGGTTGTCAGGGGATCCCCGAACTTCATACACCTGAGAGGCACGCAGAAGCAAGAGTCTACAAGCTACTGATCGGCTTCGTTTTCTTGAATTCCGTGATGGCACCTGCATGGCAACCGCACCCTGCTGAGGACGAAACCGGCCCAGGGGCGCGAAAATGAGTGTCACAGAGCTCAGGTCTGGCAGACATTGACAGCTGCAGGTGCAATGCGCAGGTAGCAAAGCCGATGCCTCTGCCCAGTGCCAAATCGCACTCGGGCTTCAGATTTGCCCTTGAGATTCTTGAATCAAATTCCAGCACACATGATGCACGCAGCTCACACAAACCGCACGCCCTGGCCAAGGCAATGGCCAATCGTGGCATGTAGGTGCCTCCATGTGGATGGCGTGGGAGTATCAAAGACTTGACTTAATGAGCTTCGGGGTTGCCTGGTGCAGGGGAGTCACGCGCCATCATGGCCATCAAGTGGTCCTACGGGCAGTGTTGACTCAATCTTCGCACCACTCACACACAGCCTGGCAGTCCTTAGTGATCATTGTCTTCGACCATGCCTCATTGAAAGCAGTGTCATGCTGCGATATGCTGCGAGCATGAAGGGCGCAGAAGTATGTGGCCTTGCCATGCTTCGCGATCAATGGTGCAGAGGGTTCCGAGAACCGATGGGACAGCTGTTGACGGCCTGCCAGTTCATAAAGCTTTTTCCGCGAGGGTTCGCCAGATCCTGTGCTGTGGTACTGAGTCGGTCACCGAAGGTATGAGGTATCTCATAGGTGCCAGGCCCTGGCTCTAAGTCCTGCACTCAAAAGGATCTGCCAACACAAAAGCAGTCACGCAGCCAAGTAGTCCTCCGGGTCCGAGTACAGAGAGCCTCAAAAAGCACCAGCTAGAATCTAGAACACAAATAAGCAAGCTTCTGCACTTCTTGAATGCTGTTCCGTGGCTGTAGGATGGTGTAGCGTATAGTGCCACAGACCTTTCACAACACTGGAGTTCTGTGGGCGCTCTCATCGTGGTGCCTCCTACCAGCTCCAGGAAAGCTGAGTTCAGACACGGGATCGTCGGCAGAGAGCCCGTAGTGGAACGCATGTTCATGCTTTCATTCTTACCTGGCAACTTGACGAGAGTACCACTACAATATGCCACGATTCATGTCAGCTGCACAGTAATCAGTCTGGGCGCCAAGTGAAGGCGCACTTAGAGAAGAGTTCAAGCTTTTCAGCTGCGGCTTTTGCACCGGCATGGCTATCTTCCTGGCAGGAATGAAACACGGGCCTACAGACACAGTCGTGGAAAACAGGCTCATTCTGCAACAAGGATTTCATCAGCAACGGCAGCAAATACGTGACTAGTACTCAGCACGAAAGAGTTTAAGGTTTCAAGGCAACAACAACCTGGAGGCCAACTAGCCAAGCTCTCAAAGGATGTGATCACTTCCAGAATACATTCAAGTGCTACCACC